TGATTTTTTTTTTCTATGATGTTTGTTTTTTGATCAGGTTTATAATGCTTCAATAAAAGTAATACTTGTTTAGATGTTTTTGTGGATGATTTAGTCTGATTTAATCTCATGAACATATATTGTTCGAAAGGTAATAACAATATTGGTGAATATCTGATCTGAAATCTTTAACCCATTCTGGCCTTTAAGGAATTCTGATTGTGATCTCAGTGTAAGAAAAACACTTCACAGATATTTTTTTTCTGTTTTTTGCTTGTTTTTTTAACTTTCTTGTTAAATTGTACTGCACTTGCATTTTAAATAAAGCTTCTGGTGGTAAAATAAGATTGTCATTTACTTCCTGTTTGTAGTTTTGTAGACTGCAGATCAAAACAGTTAAACTTAATAAAAAATGAGCTAATAAAGTTTCATTTTTCCAAACATTGAGCAGAATAAACAATCAATAAAGTGAACCACGATTCTGTGCTTTTCCTTTGTCTCTCTTTTACTGAACATGGAGGAACAGAATGCTTTAATTATATTTCAAAGGCTTATAATTATTAACTGATCTGAGTGGCCTGCACCCCCCCAGCACCCCCCCACCATCAGCAGCACCTGATGAGCTGGAGCTGAAACGTCAGGGTGTTTAATATAAAGCAAAACATTTACATTAAACCAATGATGACATAATAATTACCAGTATGAATTGATTGTTGATTGATGCTCTTTTCATTGCGTTATATGTAATTAATGATGTAATTTGTGAAAGAAGTTCACCATTAAAGTTTACATTTGCTTTAGAAGTTCAAAAACAGTAACATGAACCAAAATATCAGCAGCTCTGATGTGGTAAAAAAAGAGCTAAATAGTGTTATATAATTTGTTGTTTGATGTAACAAAGTAAACAGATTCAGAATAAACAGGCATCCATGCTGGAGCAGTGTGCCCATGACCTCCCTCTTCCCTTTAATCCCTTAATGGCCAGGGACCACTGGTGGGCCCAGTTTTATTGCACACGTCTATAAGAACAGCTCAGGCATTTTGCCTGAAGTTCCTTAGTTTGCATTGAAGTTCCTTAGTTACTGAATATTAAGCCTTAGTGGGATTTTAAGGGGTTAAAAAACTAGAAAAGAAATAAGTATTATGTGTTCTTTATGTTGCATTTTTTATATAAGGTTGACTGGTATGTATCCACCAACCAAAAATATCCAGCCAACAGCGTCCTGTGGTCAGCCTCCTGTGACCACCGATGAAGGACTAGAGGATGACCAACACAAACTGTGCGGCAGCAGATGAGCTATCGTCTCTGACTTTACATCTACAAGGTGGACTGACAAGGTAGGAGTGTCTAATAGAGTGGACAGTGAGTGGACACAGTGTTTAAAAACTCCAGCAGCACTGCTGTGTCTGATCCACTCGCACCAGCGCAACACACACTAACACACCACCACCACCACGTCAGTGTTACTGCAGTGCTGAGAATGATCCACCACCCAAATAGTACCTGCTCCATAGAGGTCCTGACCACTGAAGAACAGGGTAAAAGGGGGCTAATAAAGTATCAGAGAAACAGATGGACTACAGTCTGTAATTGTAGAACTACAAAGTGCACCTATATAGTAAGTGGAGCTGATAAAATGGACAATGAGCGCAGAAACAAGGAGGTGGTCATAATGTTATTCCTGATCGGTGTGTAACGGTTCAGTTTGTTCGCTCTTTGTGAAGTACTGCCAATTGCCTTGTCTGTTGCGTGCTGAGCGTTCTCTCTGTTTTTGCCTCCTGTGTTTTTGACTGGTAGAGAGGGGAAGTGCGGCACCGTCATCAGCACAGGACTGCTGACCCAGTCACATTGTGAACATGAAAATATTAACTTCATAATGTCTTTCAGAGGTCTGTGAAGAGTGACTATGCTCTATAGCCATTCAAACTAATTAGATCTACTTATTAATGACCATTAAATGTATCTTTGTCATACTGAAGTGCATGATAGACAGCAGTCTCAAATTATTAGACAGATCAAATAAAGTATTTTTTACACACAGGAGTGAGTGTGTGTGTGCTGTGTGTTTATATGCGCCACCAACAGTGAGCCTATCCCAGTGATCATCAGATGGAAGGCAGGAAACTCCCTGGACAAATTGCCAGTCCATCACAGGCCAGACACACAGACATAGACACTCACACCTAGGGGTAGTTGAGCATCTCCAACTGGCCTGACTGCATGTCTTTGGACTGTGGGAGGAAACCCACACAGACACAGGGAGAACCAACTCCACACAGAAAGGACCCTGGTTACCCGGCGGGGCAATCAAACCCAGGCACACACTGGAAAAGCACCTGAAGCTTTATCAGAAATGATGCTGTTATGTTGCTTCTACCACTGAGTTGAACAATATATAATGCCTGTAGTTTCAAATGGAAATCCAGATTCATTAACTTTGATGTGTTTTAAATGTCTTTAAGGGCAATTCCACCAATTTTTCACATGTTATGCATAATTCAATGGCTAGCCATTCAGAGTTACTGTAGAGACCCTGAAAGCAAGAGTACAGTGGACCACTGTTGGCCCGCTGATGGCAAAGCTGACGGTCCACTGGCGTTTTCCGGGTGGCCCACTGGTGGTTAAGCAGAGTGATAGACAAAATTCCACTTATCATCACTCATTTTCCATTTACAGTCCAATGTTTTCCTTGCTTCTTTCTTTAGTTATACTTTGTAAATCAGTTTAGTAAGTAATTTTAATCTAGCTCAGCATCAGCAACAACATTTTCTACAGAATCATTTTTTATTAGGCCTAGTCAATCATTTTTTTCTCTCAGTTGTTTGTGATATGTCTCAGCCTTTTATTAAAAATCTAAAAAAAAATCTAAGTGCATTTAAAATCTCTTTGAGGAGATTAAAAGCTAGGTAGAGGTTGTATGCAGGACAGCAATCTGGGTGGTCCAAGGGTGGTCCAGCAGTGGCAAACAGTCAGCGGGGTGCCGACCTTATCAAGAGAGCAGACCAATGCATGCTTGCTATCTGGGGAAAGTTAAGCAAATTGTATTCTTTTACAGTGATAGAAACCAGGGTTGCCAGGTCTACAACACAAATATTGCCATTTTATTTACTATCCAAAACCACCAGTGAACCTACACATGTCTTCTGAATTTTTATATGGAATGTTGATGATGGCAATAAAGTGGTGAGTCTGCAAAAATGCATTTTCTTTGGGAACTGTTTTGCCTTACAATGCCTTGCATGAGTCCTTCCACCATGAACATACAAATGAAAAGCTGCAAATGTACAAAAAGATCACCAAAAAGTGAGTTTAAGTATATCCAACAGTCAAACTTACACAACCAAAGGCGCGATATCCAACAAGAATTTAGACTAAAGGCAAAGTCAATCATTTCAGGTTCTTCCTTACAAAAATAACCAAATACAAACCAAACAATTTTGTGCAAAGAATCGTCAATAGTGGAAATAAAACTGCTCCAATTTAAACATTACAGCAAGATCTGTACAGACACGACAGAGTCCTTTGTTACACTTCATGAACACTTTAGCCTCAAAATCCTCATCAGTGACCCTGGCTCTGTTTGGGGTGAGAATCAGGCCTGAATAATCGCTCCACTGCAGCAGAGCTGCTGCGGCTCCACAGCAGAACTGGATTTTTAGGTAAAATAATATAAAATAATCCTCCTTTGCTGTAAAATCGTTATAAACACACAGTTCTAACACAGTTTTCACAATAAACGCTGGAGTTAACGCATAACTGCTAATTCACCAACGCTGAAGACTGACGCACAGACTGCTGGACACAGCAACGCAGATAAAGGAAACGAAAAGACAGAGAATTTAAGATGGACATCGATAATTTGGAGATGGACGGACTTATTTGCATTTATAATCATTCAGCTGGATTCCTCTTAATCTGCAACAACTCGCGAAGCTGAAGTCGCTTCTCATTCTCCAGCGTCCTGCCTGCACCATTTAAGGTGGAACGGGACAATTCGAACGAGAAGCTGGAGAATGAGGTAGCGACTTCAGCCTCGCAAAAAGTCAAACATTGAAAGACATTTTGTAAGAAACTCGCGGAGACGTTTCCTGAGATGTGAGAAAAGTGTGTTTGTTATATTTTTAGTCTGAACTATCAGCACATACTGAGACACACTTACAGCCAAGATAGTGAAACTGATACAAAATGTTGTGGCTCCCAAGGTGGCTTGACTTTTGTTGAAAGGACAAAATGGCTCTTCTTAACATTTGGGTTGTGACCCTTGAGCTAAGCATACTAGTAAAGGGTGATCAGCACGTGCCCGTTTGCTCAAGCTGTCCGTGGGTCAGTCAGGATTGATTTTGTGCGGATTGACTGAAGCCTGTAGCGGAATTGTAGTGAAAATGATCACTATAGCTACACAAAAATTTGTAGGCGCTACAGCTATGAACTACAGAAAATTGTAGCTACTACAGAAAGTATTGCGCTACGTAGCTACTCCCCCATCCCTGTGGTCAGTGTTCTGATGATATTCATGATATGCTTTGAAAAGCATGTTGTTTGTCATAAATCACAATAACAATGAAATCCTGTCATATTGCCCACCTTGGCCCAGATTTAAAGGTTTATCTTCACAATATTCTCAGTAAAGGCTGTATAAAATGCTTTAGAGACCATTTACTTCCATTCACATTACTAACTATGAAAACTTACATTGTGATTATCTTTTATTCCTGGACTGATTAGAGCAAAATATTTATTCTTCTCAATGTTATTCATTGTAAAAGTATGAATATGAGATCGTTTATCTACATTAATGAAGGACAGAGTTTTGTGTCTGAAGTCTAAAATCAGACCCAGGGTGGAAACGTGATCTACAACAGGTATCTGAGTGTGAGGGTCAGTACTGGGGTAAATACCACAGTGTTCTTCATAATAGAGAGCTGTGAGGGTCTCTTTAGTGGGGGGCTTTTGAGTGACCCCCACACACCATGACTTTTTACTCTTTTCTTCCTGATCCACTGTAACTTCCCAGTATTTCAGTCCTGAGGAGAATTCTTCTTGACTCAGAACGTGAGGAAATGGGTCTGCAGGGTTGGATAAGCTCAGTGTTCCACAATACACACCAGTTCCATCTCGTGTCAACATCAGAGATCTGTGACGTGTGTCAGGATCCACAGTGAGCTTCACTGTGAAAGAAAAGGACAAATACATTTGTCTGACCTGAACAGTGAAGATTCATGTAAGTAAATGAATATCAAATATTTGATATACCTTTGTTTTTTCAGCTTATTCCACATCTGTAATCTCTCTTCAGCAGAGTCTGGAGACACAGAGGACTGTGAACTGATATCTGTATGATACACTTATTTTAACACTGTTCTCTTTTAAAACATTCAAGCAGAAAAGCAGGCGGCTTAAACTGGAACCTAATTAATGCTTTTTCCCTCTAACTACAAGTGACAACTTACCTGAAACTGTCTTCTCTGCAGCTTCATCTGGAACTTTAGACAAATGACAGTTTCCAGATTACATCAGGAAACAGAATACAGAATATGAAAGACATTAAAAACACTACATTTTATTTACTCTGAGATATTTAATATTGTTGATCCAAACTTATACATCTTCAACAAAAAAGGGGAACCTCTAAGGGGAAGTGTTTCCTCTGTTGAGGGAATTGACTATATTATTTTCTTATAACAAAAGAAAAAAAGTTGAAATACAAATAATAAAATACTGCTGTTGTCATAACAAAAACTTGTATCTCAATTGTTGCTGTTTTTCAGTTTTTGACATAATTTGAAAATACCAGTTGGCCTTTATATTGTGTGTAAATTTCATGATGAATTGGTTAAAAGAAATAACCCAAAATGACTTGGGGGGAAAAAAGTCTGGTTCCATTGACTTACATTAAAAGTAAAGTAGGGTTTTTCCTTGTGTAAAGTTACGATTTTGGAGATACGAGGTTTTGTTCCGATAGCAGTGATATATATATTACAAATGAAAAAATATATATTCTAAATGAAATCTGGTTACCTTTGAGGGGAACTGTTTCTGCTGGAATGAACTCAACAGAATTAGCTGCATGACGAAAATGGAAATTTAATATTTCACACTTTATCATCCTGACATGTAGAGCATCATTTCTTACTCATATCTGTAATATCATCTATCCTGAGATCACTGATAATGTATCTCTTCCAGCTGTATTATGGAATTCTATTTCTACACATTTTTATAGATAAATATTACAAAATGATGAATCATACCTGCTGCTTTTGCATTTTTATGAGATGAGCAGTGTGGAAATAAACCTATTTAAAGAAACACATATGATAAATAACTGCATTATTGCTGTGGTATGTCAGAGTTTATGTCCAAAACTTTATTTATGAACAGTTGTAGTTTTAAACCTTACCTTGTCGTACTAAAAGAAGAAGAGCAGTGAGGATGATGACGATAATTAGTGAAAGTACTAAAGTGGAGATGAACGCCTCCCTCCAGATTCCTACAGAAACATAAACATGGAATCAAAGTGGCACTAAAATTATCAATAAGTTAGCTGGATTAGGGATCACCAAACCCAGTTTTCCAAAAATACAACCCCATTTCCAAAAAAGTTGGGACGCTGTGCAGAATGTAAATAAAAATAGAATGCAATGATGAGCAAATCATGTAAACCATATTTTTAAAGGAAAATAGTAAAAAGACAACATATCAAATGTTGAAACTGAGAATTTTTTTTGTTTTTTGAAAAATATATGCCGTTTTTTAATTTGATGCCAACAACACATTCCAATAAAAGTGGGGACGGGGGCCTGTTTACCACTGTGTTTCATCACCTCTTCTTTTAGCAACTCTCTGTAAGTGTTTGGGAACTGAGGAGACACTGCTGTAGTTTTGAAAGTGACATGTTTTCTCATTCTTCTTTGATATAGGATTTCAGCTACTCATCAATTCGGGGGCTCATTTGCAGTATTTTTCATGTTATAATGTGCCAAATGTTTTCAGTGGATGACAGTTTTAGATTGCAGGCAGGTCAGTTTATCACGCGGACTCTTAATACAGATCAATGCTGCTGTAATACATGCGGAATGTTGTTTGTCATCATCTTGCTGAAATAATTAAGGCCTTCCCTAAAAAAGATGTCATCTGGATGGCAGCATATGTTGCCAAAACATGTATATATCATTCAGCATTAATGGTGCCTTCACAGATGTGCATGTCACCAATGCCATGTGCACTAATGCCCCCTATACCATCATGAATACTGGATTTCGAACTGTGCACTGATAACAAGCTGAGTGGTCTTTAGCCCGGAGGACACAGTGTCCATGATTTCCAAAAAGAATTTCAAATGTTTATTTGGCAGACCACGGGACACTTTTCCACTTCGCCTCAGTCCATTTTAAATGAGCTCCAGCCCAGAGAAGGTGGCAGCATTACTGGATCCTGTTTATATATGGTTTCTTCTTTAGTTTTAGAGATTTAACTTGCATTTGTGGATGCAATGATGAACTGTTTTCACAGACAGTGGTTTTCAGAAGTGTTTCTGAGCCCATGCAGTGATTTCCACTACAGAATCATGTCTGTTTTTAATGCAGTGCTGCCTGAAGGCCCAAAGATCACGGCCAGCAAATACTGGTTTTGGTCTTGTCCTTTACATACAGAGATTTCTCCAGATTCTCTGAATCTTTTAATGTTATTATGTACTGTAGATGATGTTCTTTGCTATTCTACATTGAGAAACGTTATTCTTCAATTGTTGCACAATTTACTCACGCAGACTTTCACAGAGCGGTGAACCCCTCCTCATCTTTACTTCTGAAAGACTCTGAGATGCTCTTTATACCCAATCATGTTACTGACCTGTTGCCAATCAACCACCATGTGTTTTTTTTAGTATTACACAACTTTACCCCGTCCCAACTTTTTTGGAATGTGTTGTTGGCATCAAATTCAAAAAGGGCATATATTATTAAAAAATAATAAAATTTCTCAGTTTCAACATTTGATTTGTTGTCTTTGCACTATTTTCAATGAAATATAGGGTTTAAATGATTTGCACATCATTGCATTTTGTTTTTATTTACATTTTGCATAGCATCCCAACATTTTTGGAAATGGGGTTGTATATAGAATAAAATTACAGATGTTCTCCAAAAATGGCATTTAATTATATTGTAATATTTTTCTATACACCCAAACAGTATTTATTAAAGATTTAAAAATTAGCTAAAGTATGAGGCAAAGCGCAAAATACCATTTTATATTCCTGAATAAGTAGATCATTCAGCTGTACATATTAAATGTTACAGTACAGTCGGTACTAAATATTTGAAACTGAAAATTAAACTGGTTCATTTACTTTCTTATACTTTGGAGCTACATTTGAATAATTCACAGTAGTGTAAAGTGGATAGAGAACTGTTCTCACCTTTGTGTGGCAGCACTCTTCCCTCTCTCGTCTCCTGATCAGATAAACCCACAGAACAGGAGATCCACTCTGACTCTGAGGGAGAGAAAAGCAGCCAAGAGCTCACACTGACCAACCCTTCAGAGTCTAAAGAACAGAATCAGAGACCACAGTGAGGTGGAAACACTTTCAACATTCATTTTTTTCAGTGAAGTTCCTCATAATATGAAAAGTTCAATTAAATTTCTCAAATAAAACAGTTACTTTTATGACTTTTTTATGACTAAGTTTTGATATTTTCTTGTGGCATTTGTTAGATCTAGTACCAGTTTTGTAATGAATGTGGCTGTTTCTGAGTTCTCTCCCTTCTTTGTCTCTCCAGGTGAGGATGGGCTTTGGTGACCATCCACCTGATGCACAGGTCACATTCACCTGATCTCCAACTTCAGCAAATGAGAGAACAGGAAGGGAGCCTAAAGCTTGGGAGAACAGAAGAGTTTTTAGTAAGCAACACAGACCAATCAGATTCATTACATGTACAGATGAGTGACAAATTAAAGGAAAAGGCATTGGTCCTCCAGAACTCCTTCAATGTACTTTTCTGCACTGAGGGGATGGAACACCATTCTTTCACAAGATATTGAGTTGATGTTTTGATGATAGTGGCGGTGAGCGCTAACGCATGGATTAAAAACCTCCCATAGGTGTTCAACTGGGTTGAGATCTAGTGATTGTGAAGGCCACAGCATATGATCTACATCATTTTTATACTCATCAAACCAACTGTAAGACACTAGGATAGAAATACACTGTAAAAAACTGTTTTGTGTCTTCACTTAAGAAGTAAATAAACTTGCTGCAATAACATTCATTCACAGCAGAAGTCAACAATGTACAGAAATGCTGCTGACATGGTATGTGCACTAATGCTCCCCTACACCATCATGAATACTGGCTTTTGAACTGTGTACTGATAACAAGCTGAGTGGTCTTTAGCCCGGAGGACACAGTGTCCAAAAAGAAATACAAATGTTGATTAGTCGGACCACAGAACACTTTTTCACTTCCCCTCAGTGCATTTTAAATGAGCTCCAGCCCAGAGAAGGTGGCAGCATTTCTGGATCCTGTTTATATATGATTTCTTTTTCGCGTTTTAGAGTTTTATCTTGCATTTGTGGATGCAGTGATGAACTGTTTTCACAGACAGTGGTTTTGAGAAGTGTTTGAGCCCATGCAGTGATTTCCACTACAGAATCATGTCTGTTTTTAATGCAGTGCCGCCTCATTTGATGTTTTGTTGATAGTGGTGGTGAGCGCTAATGCATGGGTTAAAAATCTTCCATAGGTGTTCAACTGGGTTGAGATCTGGTGATTGTGAAGGCCACAGCATGTGATCTACATTATTTTCATACTCATCAAACCAACTGGAAGAGACCAGGATAAAAACACTCTAAAAACTGTTTGGTATCTTAACTTAAGAAGTAAAAAAAAAACTTGCTGCAATAAAATTCATTCATGCACAGCAGAAGTCAAATGTCAACAATGTACAGAAATGCTGCTGACATGCTAGTAACAGAAACATGGCAGAAATTGTTCTTCCACAAGATATTCCCTCCAGTCATCTTTTGATGATGGTGGCTTTGAGCACAAACACATTGGTCCAAAATCTCTCATGGGTATTCAACTGGGTTGAGGCCATAGCATATGATTTACATCATTTTCATACACATCAAACCAAATGGAAGAGACTGAGATAGAAATACACTGTAAAAAAAAGCTGCTTAGTGTCTTAACTTAAGAAGTAAATAAACTTGCTGCAATAAAAATCAGGTTCATTTAACGTCTAATAGTACGTAAACAGAACAAAAATCTGTGTTTTTAAGTTCAATGAACTTAAAATGTTATGGCAACAAGTTTGTTTACTTTTATGAAGTAGGACACCAAAACGTTTTTACAGTTTAGGATCAAGGTGATCACTCAGAACAACTTTATATTGATTTGCAGTGACCCACAAAATGCCCTCCAATAGCATAACAGAGCCACCGGACCCCATCACTGTGGGGGTCCATCATTCAGGCTTGTACAGTTCTCTTGGTGTACGCTGCACATGCACTTCCCACACGTGACTCACCTGATCACTGTTTTCCACATCTCTGTGGAGCAATGCTGTCGCTTCACTGACCTCTCAAATGGTCATTTGCCTTGTAATGATTGGTTTATGCACTGCAGCTCTGCTATTATATCCCTCTCTGCGTAGTTGTGGATGGATTGTTCCTGCTGACAGTCTAATTACATACCGCTCTGATATTCTCAGTCAGCTGAGGAACAGTTTTTCTTGCATATCGCACTAATGCACAGTCATCAGGCTCACTGAATGTTGGCTTTCCGCCACAATTTCCAGCCTTATTGACGTCTTTGCCATAGATCTAAATGCGGACGTGACTTTTGTCCAATATTTTCAGAATAACATTCCAAAATGAGCGTTTGCAAGAATCTCAGGTATTTCACCCTCTACAGTGAAAGGATCCACTGGAGAAATCTCTATATCTAAAGGCCAAGGCTGAAAACCACAACTCAAGCCCATGATCTTTGACCACTGCATTAGGAACCAGCATACTTCTATGATGAATATCACCACATGGACTCGGAAATACTTTGACAGACCATTGTCCGTAAACACTGTTAGTCACTGCATCCACATATGCAAGTTGAGAAGTCGTATGTCAACAACATCCAGAAACACCGCCGACTTCTCTGGGCTCAAGCTCATCTGAAATGGACTGATACAGAGTGGAAATGTGTATTGTGATCTGGTGAGTCCACGTTTTACATCCAGATGTGTTACCAGCGCAAAGTTCAAAAGCCAGGGTCTGTCATGGCCTGGGGGGATTATTGACACCTTTCCCATACATCTAAATGCAGATGACACTTTAGTCACTGTTGAAACACAAGCCAGTATAGCAGTCTTTGTGACCGAAGCCTCTGCTCTCCGCGCCCCAATAATGAAAGCTACTTAGATCTTTTCCTCTTGCCTTCTTGATCCCAACTCGAGGTCATCTAGGTTCAGCATTTTAATACGTGCCTCAGAGCATGATAGGATGATTGCTTGACCTCCTTACTCAAACTCCCATCAGTAGTGTTTTAGGATTATCTGCATTTCCCCAATTTGCTGATCAAGTTATCATTGATAATGTAAGCTAAATGACTAACAATTCATTCACTCAAGGTCTTACCTTTTATTGTGAGATTTGCATTAGCCGTGTCGTACCAAACGGCACCCTTAACAAAGCACACATATTCTCCTCTGTCTGCCAGTGTGAGGTTCTCCAGTTTCAGAGAGACGTTCCCTTTCACCAGTTCTCCAATCAGAGACACTCTGCCTCTGTACTGAGGATCTCCAGTGCTCTCCTGGACCGTTAGATCTCTATACAGCAGAACTGGGTTGTCGTAATCATTCTTGTACCACCGAACTTCAAACGTCTCAGCATTTAAAGATGGAGAAAGACGACACGGCAGGATGACTGAAGACCCCAAATATGCTGAGACTGAACCATCAGGAGCAAGTACAGAGAACTCTGAAGGACGGCAAAGAGAGAAAGAGAAGATAAACTGGAAATCTTATAAAACAGCAAGAAAGAGATCAGATGAATGGATGTCATAAAAAAGTGTCAGATGCAAGGCTAGGTAATGTGACATAAAAAGAGAGATAGTTGTTGTGTTTACCTGCTGCAGAGCAGACGAGAACAGCTGCAATGCGTATCAGTAGCATAGCAACCACCTGAAACACTAAAACACCACAGAGCAAAATAAAAACTGTACACTGTTAGAAATAAAGGTTCTGTTCAGGTACATTTTTTGTTCATCAAGGTACAAACAGTGCAAATGTTCCCTCAAAAGGTACAACAGTGGTTTTAGGTCCAGTTGTGATCCTTAAATAAGTTTTTCAGGTGAAAAGTTTGCATTTGTACCTTTTCATAACCGAATGTTTTAAAACAGAACAATAAAATAAAATGCCTGGAGACGAGACGGGGTGTGTGGAGGCTTATGGTACAGTTATGTTCCCTGACTAAAAGGTACTGAGATGTACCCTTGAGGGGACCACCCCAGTGACAAGAGGGGTACTGCCCCAGTGACAGTGTAGTACCTTTATTTTTGACCAGTTATTAAATAAAAGAACACATTATTATCCAGTATTTACAGACTTTTGAACAGTAGCTTAGCCTCCGCTCTACTGCTCTGAGTTATCAGTAAGGTGAACTTTGGAACTCACACATCTCCTCGGTCTTCCGTGTGCTTTCACGTCAAAGCAACTAATAATAATAAACACAAAATCATATTTTACAGAATCAACATGAGACATTTTCCATAACTGTACTTCATTTCTAAAAATCCTAATTTATTCTAAAGTTTAGGTGAAGAATAATGACTGTATCGCTTATTAACGTGTATGGAACTGATCCCAGTCCATTGTTTCAAACTACAGCTTCACATTTACATACTATTCCTCTATTCTACTGTTTTTGCCAGAATTTGAGAAGATAAACAACGTATAATTATGTTTCTTTCCATTCTTTTCTTTAATAATTCATGACCTTACCTGTTGCTGTAAACAGAAACAATTCATGCTCTTGTCCCCTTAACTTTTTACCTCTTGTCTTGCTTAAGTTGGAGGGTGTTCAGTTTGATTGCAGACTCTGATAAGAAGTTTTATAGCCTGCTGTTCTACCAAACTGAAAGATAAACACATTCACAAGCTTGTTATTATTTCTAATCCTGAATGAGGACATTTCTAGCTGGGAGTGGCATCTTGTAAACATGTGGTATGAATGTAAATATAATACCTACTTCCAACACTGTGAAATATGAACATATATAGTATATTATGTATATTTAATTATACATATTCCACAATGCTTCAGTATAGGTGGATATTATAATGCCATTGTAATGCTGCTATGAAGCCCATATCTACTAATTAACTGGCTGCATATTACAACTTTATTGAGCAGTAACTAGTGTCCATTAAAAATCCACTTTGACTTATATTTGCATTTGTATTTCAACAATGTCTAGAAACACCTCTGACTTCTCTGGGCTCGAGCTTTCACATCCAGAATGTTACCAGTGTAAAATTCAAGAGCCAGGGTCTGTCGTGGTCAGGGGGGATTAGTGGGTAACCTGCACATCTATGAAAGCACCATTAACACTGAAAGATAAATACACATTTTGGTGTCTTCAGTCTCCAAGTGACTGTTAAGTACTGTTAAAAGGAAAGGTGATCTCAGCTTTTCTGGAACGAGTTGTAGACATCATATTCAGAATGAACATGTATTATTATTGTCCAAAATAAAACATATCTCCAAAAACAAATTTAAAAAACAAAAATAGAAGAGATAGATTTTATTCCAAGTAATTTTGGAATGTTTCTGTTGGTCCTTTCATCATGAAAGTTTCACACAATGTAAAGAACAGCTGTTAACTTCAAATGATGCAGAAAAAAAAAATAGACATACTTTTTTGGACGTCAACATATTTGCACAAAATACAAAAAAGTTCAAGGTGAAACATCAAAATGTTAAAAAAAAACAACAACATGTTTTTGTGCTGTTTTCAGTTTAATCAAACAGAACTATGCAGAAAATGAAAATCCCCTTTTAATATAATTCAGTAAATACTGAATACTATTAAACACAAGGCACAAGGTTTCACTGACACTCACAACAGAACATAAATGGAGCAGCTTTATGTTTAATAAAAATATGTCGTGCCTGTTATTCTTAAACAGCAAACTAAAAATAAAATATTAAATTAACACAGTATTTAATGAACTAAGATTAACTTGCTTTGATTGGCTTTTAAAAGTACAGCTTTTTATTTTATCCATGATTTCTTCTAACGGGTGAATTACCTGAAACTTTTATTGTGTAACAGATATTAAAAATGAAAATTCTTGTAAAGTGAAACACATTTTAACAATAAATTCGAGTAAAACCAAAACGCTGAATGAAGCAGAATGCGCTTCTCCAAAGTGTCCACAGGGTGGCGCCAAAAACATATCAAAAGTAAAACGCTTTTAATTGGCCCTAACTTAACAAAACTTGTGAAAATAGTCGCTTCTGTCATTTAAGTTACGGCTTTAATAGAATATAAAGCAATTTAATAAAATCTAAAAACTCATTAAAAAATACTTACATTAAATCTAGTAATCAGAAATGATATATAAACAATACATAATTACGTAAAAAATCTGATTACATGATATTTATTTATTTATTAATTTATTTATTTTTATTTATTTATTGAACTGTTCGCGCGCGCCCTGTTGCTGCTCTCCCTCCGCTTTGAAATGAATGGTTTGATCCGCCGAGCTGTCACGAGAAACGTTGTTGTTTTTTTTTTTCCTTCCCGCCCGTTTTCCAGAAAAACCCGCCTCTTCTTCGCTGCGATTGGCTTATATTTTGTAGCGTCCTGCACTATGATTGGTTAGTTTTCCACGCCAACCAATCCTAGCGCAGAAGAGGCGGGACTTTTCGGAATACGGGTGGAAAACAAAACTTCCTTGTTTATGTCCGCGGACGAAGCGCAGCGCAGTTCAGTCCAGCCTGAACCGCGGCGATGCTGAGCGGAGCTCTGTGCGCGTTTCTCCTCACTTTCACCTCCGTGTCAGCGCAGTATGTGCCGCCGGTGAGTCTCCGCTGACACGTTTTGTGGGTTTTTAGGCTGAAAACGAGCGCATTTGTTGTTGAAATCCAGTGATAGTTTGAGACATTTAAAGGGCCAGTGTCCAAACAGTGCTTTAACATGTTAGTGATGGAATAAAGAGGCCTTAAAGATCAGTGTGGACACCAGACGTGCAACTGTGATCAATAACTGGACCTGTTTCTTCATTTCACAGTACACTGAGGACTGCCGGACAGGCATGTATCCACCCAGTGGACCAACGTATGTGTTTCTGGCTTCTTGTCTTTATAAAGGCTGGTGTAATAGAGCTTTGGGCCTGTTTTGTAACAGCAGTTTACTGAGGAGTTTTGTAATCTTCACTCCTTCTTCAAGCTTCTGAGGAAGTTCCTCCCAGCTTGCAGCTGCCTGGTGCATGACTAAGCATTCATGTCATCCTTTTGAGGTTGTGGAGTTAATCCTGTTTCTCCAGGTTTAAAGGCGCAGTCAGCTGGTACACGGTGGATCTGGATCTAGCCCCCAGCCAAAGGTGGAAGGAGGTTATTACAGACAAAAAGAATGACGTAAGTTCACCCTTGTACTGGGACACTTTGCTGTCATGTGACTGAGAAGAGTCACATGACAGTAAACAGGTAGTTCAGCTCTGTTTAGCCTGCCCTGCTGAAAAATCACAGAAGTTTCTGTTGGTGTCCAAAGGTTATAATGGTATTGTGTGGTTTCCTGATGAGCTAATATTACAGTACACCGATCAGGCATAACCTTGTTTCTGTGCTCATTGTCCATTTTATCAGCTCCACTTACTCTATAGGTGCACTTTGTAGTTCTACAGTTACAGACTGTAGTCCATCTGTTTCTCTGATACTTTGTTAGCCCCCTTTTACCCTGTTCTTCAGTGGTCAGGACCCTCATGGACCCTCACAGAGCAGGTACTATTTGGGTGGTGGATCATTCTCAGCACTGCAGTAACACTGACGTGGTGGTGGTATCTTAGTGTGTGTTGCGCTGGTCTGAGTGGATCAGGCACAGCAGTGCTGCTGAAGTTTTTAAACACCTCAGTGTCGCTGCTGGACTGAGAACCAAAAATATCCAGCCAACAGCGTCCTGTGGTCAGCCTCCTGTGACCACTGATGAAGGACTAGAGGATGACCAACACAAACTGTGCAGCAGCAGATGAGCTATCGTCTCTGACTTTACATCTACGAGGTGGACCGACAAGGTAGGAGTGTCTAATAGAGTGGACAGTGAGTGGACACAGTGTTTAAAAACTCCAACAGCACTGCTGTGTCTGATCCACTCGCACCAGCACAACACACTAACACACCACCACCACGTCAGTGTTACTGCAGTGCTGAGAATGATCCACCACCCAAAAAGTACCTGCTCTGTGAGGGTCCATGGGGGTCCTGACCACTGAAGAACAGGGTAAAAGGGGGCTGACAAAGTCTGCAGAGAAACAGATGGACTACAGTCTGTAACTGTAGAACTACAAAGTGCACCTATATAGTAAGTGGAGCTGATAAAATGGGACAATGAGCGTAGAAACAAGGAGGTGGTCATAATGTTATGCCTGATCAGTGTATAATATCAGAGTTCTGGAACTGATTCCAGATGCGTTTGATAGTTTCCTAATGGGATCTAGTGTGTCCCAGAGGAAACTGGTAGTCTCGAATGGAAGCCGTTAAGCCAGGCATGTCAAACTGGGGACCTTCTGGGTCAAAGTGCTGTGGAGATCATTGTTTACCCTCATTGACGCTCTGAATTCAGTTCATTAAGGCCGTGCTAATTAGCTGAAGAGCTGAATCAGGTGTGTTTAATGAGGCAGTGTGCTGAAGTCTGTAGTGTTTCGGCCTGCGAGGACTGGAGCCTGACACGTGCATTATGCCGATTCCCATTAGAAAGCAAAACTACCAGGTTTTGATCCTGATGGCTCTAATGGTCTTTCTTCAGCAGGGAGTAAACAGATACTTCTGTTTACTTCAAATGACTTCCCTGCTGAACAAAAGACAATTAGAACCATTAGGATTAAACCCGGATGGTTTTGCTTTCTAACTGGAATTGACTTGGTTACCTTCAGTCAAGAAAGTGGTTCTATATAGAACCATGAACACTCAAAGAATCATTTACATGATTTAAGGGTTATTTGCATTGTGAATGGGATTCCTCAGACTGATGGAAACTGTGCTGTAGAGGATTCTTTTTAGAACCTTTTTGAAAGGGGTTCTATATAGCACCAAAAATGGTTCCACTATTGTTACAGGCCAAATGACCCCTTTTTGGTACTATATTGAACCCTATTTGCTAAGAGTGTAGTAGTTACTATACTTAATGATTATCACAGATAAGCAGTAGTAATGACTAAGTATAATTATGATGGTTATATTAGAAAAAAAAACATGTCAGTTAATGTAAAAATATTTTATTCAAAGTCTTTTTCCTGCTGTGCAAATTTTACAACAATGCAAAGTGAAGCTGCAGCTTTCAATGCAATTATTAATTAGAATTTTCCAAATTTCCTGACGTAAAACAGTTTGATGTAGTTGGTGATCCCTGCGAAACTTTTGTCCAAGTAGATATTTTGCTGCTGTCAGAACAAAACCTCGTATCTCTAAAATGGTAACTTTGCAGGAGAAGGAAAAAACATGCTTTATTTTTAATGTAAGTCAATGGAACCAGAGTTTTTTCCAAGTCATTTTGGGCCGTTTCTTTTGGTCCATTCATCATGAAATTTACACACAATGTAAAGGACAACAGACACTTTCAAATTATGTCAGAAACTGAAAAATGACGAAAATGGAGATACGAGGTTTAGTTCAGGCAGCAGCGACTAAGGCCCGTTCAGCCTGAAGCCGTTCAGCCTCACCCACTCACACTGAAGTTATAAGGAGTGTCGCAGGCTGGACTGCTTTTTGAATGATGGGCAATACAGGGCAGCCAATCAGAACATCAGAGCAGAGCTCGTTTACATATGTCAGTATTAAAGGCACAGTAACTAAAACAGTCTGTCAGGTAGAAATAAATTGTGAGTGTTTTTGGAACATAAACTCACAAATTCATACGGAGAATGAGATACAAGAAAAATGTAGTGTACAGGCTTTTTACTGGATGGCTACACTCTTAAAAAGTATGGTCCTTCAAGCATTCTTCAGTACAGAAAATGGTTCTAGAAAGAACCGTGAACATTCAGAGAACACTTTGCATGATTAAAGCGTTCTTTGCATTGTGAAAGGGTTCCTCAGACTGATGGAGATTGTGTTACAGATGGTTCTTTATAGAACCTTTTTGAAAAGGGTTCCACTATTGTTACAAGTCAAAGAACCCTTTTGTTGGTACTATCTAGAAGCCTTTTTGCTAAGAGTTAGTAGATCCTACATTACAGGCCAAAAGAAACGATGGAATATTTTGGAAAAATCTGTTGTCAGATTGACTTAATCATAAAGTATTTTTGAAACTTTAAAGAAAATCAGTGCTAGGCTTCAAACTTTTACATACCCTGTACATAGAAGCACTTATGTGGATGTGGCTTTCTTTCTGTGTAGTTGGTGAACATGATCCAGGCCATCAAGGATCTAGCAAATGCCTTCGTCCCCAGCGGGCGGCTCGTTGATCTTGTGGACAGGGATTTGGTGAGTGCTTGCTAAAAATTTGCACCGTGGCTCATTTTAATTCAGGAAATGTAAGACGATGTAAGAAAATCCATATTGTAGGAATGCAGAGTCAACATGACGCTAGCAAGTACTGATTTAATCACCTTTTATGAGTGAAAATAATGGCTGTCAATTTAAAACCCAGTATAACAAAGTTGTGGGAGTGAATAGGGAACTTTTGTGCTTTGGGTTAGTCTTTATCTGGCTAATAACGTGTCTGGGTCAGCATCAAACCACATGTTGTCAATCATGGAATATCCACTAAAATATGGAATTTAATCCATTTGTGTTCTATTCTTTCACAATGACCTCAGAATAAAGTCGGTCACACCAGTGACTTCAGCTAAAAGTTTCATATGAAATCATGAGCTAAATGAGAAAATCTCTGATAACTGAAAGACACAGTGGACTCACCATGTGCTTTTCTTCATAGATCCTCAGAGAACAGGTAAAAGGAAGTCGAGTGATGTCATCAGTGTGATTTTAACTTCAAAATAAGAGGTTTTTTATTACGCAGTAACACCAGTGACACGACTCCTGGGGACTTTCATTATATATTTTATAATATTTATTTGGCATTTGTTTTCTTTATGTCATTTAAATCATATATTTCATAGTCATGTATAGATTATTGTAGTTAAAATTGCAGTTTTTTACCTGAAAATATGGCCTCAGCCTTCACACGTGACTGTAGGGACGAGCTCTTCTGTGGTGCTTGGAATTCTAAATAATTGACTTAAAGACCAATATTGCTAAATTGAGGCTCAAGAAGGTGAAACTGTTAAAATAACTTACTGTTTTATTTTGAAATATAAATAAAAAACTAACATGTTTTTGAAGTGTAATATATCTGTAAACGGTAGGGACACAAAAATGGACGTTTCTGTAGAATGACCCATCTCTTCTGTTGTTAGTTGATTGAAGACGTAGTACGCCAAAAAAAGAATTTACACCATTTCCTGCAGTGTTGCTCCAAATTTAGTCAATTAGCCAAGACGTGTTTCGTGTCTGATTTTTGCTCCTTTAGTTTCGCACTGAAGCTAGGAGGCTAATGTAGCGCACTGCATGGTTGTTTTCAAAGGCTACGTTGGACTACACTTGCAAAAGCTAGCGATAACTAACTGGCCGGCTAAAATAGCTAAACAAGCACATCTCTAAAAGTCCCAACAATGCTGACAAGCTACGTTCAGGAATGTTTAACTACTACTGTCAACTTGCAAACATGTTTAACTGAAGCTCGTAACTTGGAACTCCAGCTAGGAAAAAGCTAAGAAAATGGCTCCTGAACTGGGAATTCCTATTCGGCAAGTTGGGAAGGTGTTCTCAGCTCCAATGGTAGCACGACTGCTCGCACCGTTAGAAAGTAATAAAGAAGCACTTCTTTCCTTTTAAGTGAGATTTGCTTCAGATCAGTCAACATACAGACGCAGGAGTTGGTTAAAATGTAACATTAACCATAAAGTTCACTGATTTGAGTTCAATCACTCATATCAGTGACATTAGCTGGCTAGCGTGCTGCTAACAATACTTGCTTTTTCACTTTGTAGCTCAATAATTTAATATATCTATACACAGATTTAATACATACATATATATATATATGCAGATTTAATATATCTATACACATAAATATGTGTATTGGGGCACATTATAAGTGACCCTTATTAGTCCTGCATTGGGGAAATTTCACCTCCGCGTTTAACCCATCCGTACACCACATACACACTAGTGAACACACACACCAGGGGGCAGTGAGCACACTTGCCCGGAGTGGTGGGCAGCCCTATCTGCAGCGCCCCGGGAGCAGTTGGGGGTTAGATGCCTTGTTCAAGGGCACTTCAGTCATGTACTATATGCTATAAATAACTCTGTATTGATGCATTTTTGTGTGTTTGACCCCTAGCCCTTGATGATTGATACGCTCCCCTATCCTTTCAATGAGGAGATTAAAGGAATCGCAACAGCTTCCGGTGTTCCTTTAGGTAAGACATTAAACTAAATTACTCATTTATTTATAAATATTATGTTTAAAGCCTGTTTAAAGCTGCCAGGCAAGGTTGTTTTTTACAATAGAGCTACATTTTTCAAAAGCTCTGAAAACTGGAGATCATTTTCTGTCTTTTCAATATGTTTTACCTGAGTACACCATTTTCAAGGATGTTCAGTCGCACCTTTTTGTGACTGATGGGCTAAATAAAACGTTGTGTACCACAGCTGTCCATTCAGTTTCTTTAATGTACAATAACATGTACATCATGCATTCCTTCGTCTTCAGTAACTCTTCTGATTATCCTTCATATCTCTTTGTCTCTCTGTTTGAACAGGGGAGGTTGTGCTCTTCAACATTTTTTATGAAATTTTCACAGTGTGCACCTCACTAGTCGCAGAAGGTCCTGATGGTAAGCGAATAATCACCTCATCTACACCCAGGCGGTGTGTTTTTTCTTGGTATCCATCAGGGTGGTTTGTATTTAAATGTAATCTCTAAGACTTCAACTATTTATTGCAGGAAACCTCATCCATGCCAGAAACCTGGACTTTGGCCTTTTCATGGGGTAATTTCATTTGTCTCTGAACAAACCAGACTGGATGTCCTATATTCAGAATGATTATTCGCCAGATATGTCAGTTACTCTGTAATGAAAGCACTCCTTTCACAAACACATACAAATAGCAATTTGGAGTCTTTTCATTTCTCTTTAGTGTGTCTGTTTCTCTTTTTCAAACTGTAACTACTTGTACAAAAGCATGTAAACACAATAGGATGTTTGTATTAACACTTTATTGTGTGGTTTTTGTATTTAGCTGGGACTTGAAGAACCGATCGTGGGTGATCACGGAGAAGCTGAAGCCGCTTGTGGTGAACGTCGACTTCAGACGGAGCAACCGCACCGTCTTCAAATCCACCAACTTCGCCGGTTATGTTGGCATGCTGACCGGCATGAGGCCTGTAAGTTAAGAGTACATGTGGTACCTTATGTGATATACAGCTGGTTAAGGTGAGGGTAGGTGTTTATATGCGGGGCATATCCAGTGGGGGTCTTTTCAGTTGCAACAAAGCATTTACATCTTCATACGGTAACATTGTGATGGTGCCTAACACTGAAGCTGTGGAGGCAAATGCAGTGTGAGTTGAAGCTTCATTTTTGTCTGATATGTAAACATAATATTAGTACAGTTCTGTAAAATTACACTTTATATCATGATTATGATAAGTAATGCTAGCAACCACCCAGCAACACCCTAGCAACCACCTGGAATTCCTTAGCAACGACATAGTAACACCCTAGAAATAACTAGAGATACCACTGCAACCACCTAGCAACACTTGAGCAACTACCGGAGATACCATAGCAACCGCCTAGCAACACCTTAGCAGCTGCCAGAGATACCATAACAACCACCTAGCAACACCCTAGCAACCACCTAGCAACAGCTTAGCAACTGCCCGAGATACCATATGCCACCAAGCAACACCTTAGCAGCCACCAGAGATACCATAACAACCACCTAGCAACACCCTAGCAACCACCTAGCAACACCTTAGCAACTGCCCGAGATACCATATGCCACCAAGCAACACCTTAGCAGCCACCAGAGATACCCACAGCAACCAACTAGCAACATCCTAGCAAGCACCTTGGGTCCTATAGCAACCACATAGCAACACTTGAGCAACTACCAGAGAGACCATAGCAACCACCTAGCAACACCTTAGCAACTGCCAGAGATACCATAAAAACCACCTAGCAACACCCTAGCAACCACCTAGCAATACCTTAGCAACTGCCAGAGAGACCATATCTCACCTAGCAACACCTTAGCAACCACCAGAGATACCATAGCAACCAACTAGCAGCACCCTAGCAAGCACCTTGGGTCCCATAGCAACCACCTAGCAACACCTTAGCAACCACCAGAGATACCATAGCAACCACCTAGTAACACCTTAGCAACTGCCAGAGATACCATAAAAACCACCTAGCAACACCCTAGCAACCACCTAGCAACACCTTAGCAACTGCCAGAGATACCATATCCCACCTAGCAACACCTTAGCAAGCACCTTGGAACACCATAGCAACCACCTAGCAACACCTTAGCAACCATTTGGGTTACTTCAGCAACTACCTTAATAACAATCGTGCAAAACTATGGCAACCACCTGGAAACTGCTGAAACTGCACGTTTCTAGTTTTGTACTGTAAATCAAACTTATTGGAAAACAATGATTGTTCTAGACTTAAGAATTGTTGTCATATTTAGTAAACAATCAGGTAAAGTTAATATCGTTACAACTTTCTAAACATCCATCCATTTTGGCCTGACTGGAGCCAAATCTAGTCGAGGCTGAGGGTGGGATTCACTCTTTCCCAGCGGGGAGGGGGAAGAGTGGTGGGCTCGGCTAAATTCTTATGTGACCACAAAACGTCACCATTCAATTCATTCATGCAGAAGATTCTGAATCAAGGACCGTGTTTGTGTGATCAGTTAGCATGTGTTGGTAAAGTAGCCTGAATGTGTGCGTTGTTTGTGTGTGACTAATGCAGCGTTTCAGATGACTGCATTAGTGTAAATCTCAGGTCCTTCTTTTGTTTTGCAAGACTACAAGCTGCTTTCAGAAGACTGTGACTCTGACTTTCACTTCCTCAGTTTACTCCTAAAAGAGGAATCTGACACAGAGCTGCTGTTCAGTAATCACGTTATGTTGTCATAAGATTGCACTACAAACTTGTGATCTCTCTCTCTCTCTCTCTCTCTCTCTCTCTCTCTCTCTCTCTCTCTCTCTCTCTCTCACCGAAGCACGTGTTCACCCTCACAATGAACGAGCGGTTCAGTCTGAACGGAGGCTACATTGGTGAGTGCGCACTTCCCCACTCTCTCTCTCTCTTTTTAGTAGAGAGCTGTCAGTTTATCAGGCCCACCCTCCTTGTACTTCTACTTACTGGCCATTTAATCGAGAAAAAAACAGAAAATTACACAAAAGTCTCAACAACTAAATCAGGTTGTTCAGTGTTCAGTGAGTCTTTCTTCACCTTCATTACAGCTTCAGTTCTTTTCAGGAGACTCATTTTCAGTTCCTCAAAGAATCTGCAGACACACCTCCAAAGTTCAGTCTTAGAAGCTGGTTGATCATTTTCTGAAGTAATCAAACACATTCAGTGGTGTTGAGGTCTGGACTCTGGGGTGGTCAGTCCATTGTTCAGCTTCTTTGTTTGATTTGAAAGTATTAAATTTTGTTGTCTGGTTCTCAGTAAGAGCTTCTTGACTGCTAATCTGTCAACATCATTCATAAAATCATGTTCTTTAAAAAAAACGCAGTCTGATCTTAGATCAGCACTGCAATCAGATACCCAAGAGCAACACATCAATATGAGGTTAAGTAATTAATTAGATAGTAATTACACAGTTAATTGTATATAATTAATACTACTTACATATGATTATCACTGTATATCTGATGTTTTTGAATTGTTTCAATGTAAAAAGTGCCTAAAACAAAAATACAACAAATTCAAACAATCAAACTTCATCAATTTTAGTTCATAGAGGAATAGTGGATGTTATTTTTCAGGCTGCCAGCAGGTTCTGCTCTTTTTCAAGACATCATTATTATTAATGTGGAGTTGGTTAAATGCTGTATCACTTAATATTATTGTATTATTAGCATTACTGTAGACTGTTTTTGGATGTATTTTTTTGTTGTGTAACCGAGCTAAGGTTAGCAAGAAGGCCAGTTTATGTCGTCGTTTCCAACTTGCCTAGATTCGATTAGCTAAAACAACACAGTCCAGCATAGCGTTTTACACTGAAAGCCCAGCGTTATGTGGCAAATCTAAACAAAGCTTTCTAGAATGTCATTAGGTTGAATGGCATTTTTGAATGGGATGGGAAGCTGGTCCAGCCTCTCAAAGCTATGAAAGAGCACGGAGCCTGGATAGGTCAATTAACCAGCATTTATTTTGGTGTAAAAGACCTGGACTTGCACTCTTATTCAAAGAATAAGATGAATTCTAGCATGAATACTTAACATCTTAGCCTCATGTGAGAGTGCATAGTATGAGGATATTAGTTCTATCATGGGAAGCTTGTAAGCCAAAGCACTGGTTCATCATGTTGATGTATTGCAGGCATTCTGGAGTGGATCCTGGGGAAGAGAGATGGGATGTGGATGAGCTTCCTGACTCGCTCCGTCTTGGAAAACGCTACCAGGTAAGCCAGAAACATAGTCAGAAACATGGAGGATTTGCTAGCTGAGCCTATTTAATAAATGCACCACAAACTTGCTAGTTACCTACCCTGATCTATAAGCTGACTGATACACTGTATGGCCAAAAGTATATGAACACCTCTCCTAATTACTGAGTTCAGGTGTTTCAGCCACATTTCTGCCCTGCTAGGTCTGCCCTAGTCAACTGTAAGTGCTGTCCTTGTGAAATGGAAGCATCTAGGACAGGGGTGCACAACTCCAGTCCTGGAGGGCCAGTGTCCAGCACAGTTTCCCTACTCAAACACACCCACTTAACCTGGCAATTACCAGATAAGTGTAATCAGGTGTGTTGGAGCAGGTAAATCACCAAACTGTGCCGGACACCGGCCCTCTAGGACTGGAGTTGTGCACCCCTGATCTAGGAGCAACAAGGAGCTCAGCCACGAAGCGGTAGATCATTCAAACTTACAGTGCGGGACCACTGAGTTACTTGTGAGCCAGCCCTTCTCCTCCAATAAACAGTGCCAGACCTCACAAATGCTCTTTTGACTGAATGAGCCCACTAAATTCCCACAGACACACTCCAAAAGCCTTTCCCAGTAGAGTGGAGACTGTTATACTTATTAATAGTTAAGGTGGCTTATAGAGGTGAGCTGGTCAGGTGTCCACACACTTTTGCCCACATGTTCCTAACATATTCCCCCATTGTAAAAATGAACAACTGTAACCAACAGTTATGAACATGAGCACCTGGCTGTGGCCAACATTGATGATTTTGCTAACAAACGCTTGCTTTTTTGGTAGCTATGCAGAAGCTAAAAAGCTTCTATCAGACACGAAGCTGCTGGCTCCTGCTTACTTCATCCTGGGAGGAAACCAGACAGGCGAGGCATGCATCATCACCAGATCCAGAACTCACAACATCTATCCTTTAGAGTGAGTACATGTACATAACCACCGAATAATTCAGCGACGTATAACAAATTTTACCATTTGTCTGAAAGGCATGACACCTGTAACACCAGAAGCCAGAGGGATGACTACCTCTTAAAGATGCTTGGTCTACCTGGGTGCCTCCTTAAAACTTTGCTTTGTGTAACTGGCTGATTAGAATGCTTCCACCTTCTCAACCTAGAGAAAGTAGTTCAGCATATGACGTTACACCCACTTGGACAGCTGAGTGAAGCATATACATTTGTGGGTAGGCAGCACAATCACTTTCATGTGCATTATTTCCAGGAATCCTGATATGAATGTAGCTAAGTAAATGTTTTTGTTAATTTTGTCCCAAAAATGATCATTTTTTGGTGAACATTGGCTGAAAAATGAAAGCAAACTGAAGAGCCTAGCTAGGTAGTATACTAGTTTGCGAGTGCATGTTAGACTCGTAGGCCATGCACTACCTGCATGTAGGGTGTGTATTACTTCTGTGGAACCAAACATCTCATTGGCATTTCCTTCTGAGAACTTAGCGATGGCCCCTTCAACTCATTTAAACCTGCTGTTAGAGAAGTAATGGTGCAACCATGTTTATGTTGGTCAGAGGGAAACATATCCTTGGGTAGAATCTGAGCTTTGTGTGCTACCATGTTTTCTATCACTATATAAAAGATGACCAAGGCTTTCTTTAGTGTTGTGTGAGCTCATTCAGATCACAGTTCAGATCTGTAAGTACTTATTAAGTTTATCAGAGTAACAATAAAACACAACTGTATGTGACTTATATGCTGTTTAAGTGTTTGTATGTTAAAAAGGTAAAAATTGTGTGTAAAATTTTTCACACAAATAAAAATTGAACTTTTGGCCTTCGAGTTACATATAAAATGATAACAATAGAGCTGAGAACATTATTAATGGAGAAGAGCAGATTAAACAGCAGAAATAAGCACTTTTTTTTGGTTCAGTCTTAAAGGGTTAATAATGCATCGTCTAAAGATGTCTGTTTTTTTTTTTTACTATTCTATGCTATGCACACGTGAAACAATATGCTCCTGTTGAGTTTCCCATTCATACGGGAATCAATGTTATTATATTTGATTTAAAAATGGAACAGGTCTTGTTTTCTGGACCATTTTTGATAATTACACATATTTTGCACTTGCTTTGGCTGCCCAGTGGCCACCACATGTGTGCAGTCCTTGAATCACCACTGCCAACTCATCTGCTGTTGAACAGAACTGAATAGAAAACATGAATAAAAATCTGTGTGTGTGTTTCTTTTTCAGTATTGATCTAAAGCAGGGCAGGTGGTATGTGCTGGAGACTAATTATGACCACTGGAAGAAGCCTCTGTTCCTGGATGACCGCAGAACTCCTGCCATGAAATGCATGAATCGGATCACACAGGCTGTGAGAACCTTTTTCTTTTCAAAATTCAAAAACTTTGCTTTATTCTGTCAGCGCTGTTGCAAATAAACCATGAGTATCTAGATTAGATTTCACCCTGCTCCCGCCCGCTCCCACAGAAAATTGGAATCCTTTGTCCCTCTCCCGCCCGCTCAGTTCCGTTTCAAGGCGAACTGACATCCAATATCTGACACAGTCTACTCACAAGTCCATTATCCTCTGCTGAAATAACACGGCAGTCGTGGTCATCAGGCTCACTGTGAAGTAACTTCACCAAACGCCATTTATTCCCAGTAAACACAAAGCAGGAATTAAACCACAGAACGGTTATTTTTGTTACTTTGCTGGGCAGCTGTGGCCGTCGCACTGAATGCTCTGCAGTCTTTGTAAGCATATATATATTATATATATAATATTATTATATTATATACATGATTTAGTGATTGTTCTACTTTATTTAGGCTATTCAAAGGCTATTTATTTCTCGTCATGTGTGCTTTGTCCTGCTCCCGCCTGCAGTTGGCTGGTTTCCTGCCTGCTGCCACGCACAACACTAAAAATTAGTCCCGCGCCGCAAGATATTGTGCCAGTTCCCACAAGTCCAGCAAGAATCCGTGGAAATGCAGACCTCTAATCTAGATCTTAGAGGTGTTTTTTTGTGGAGGAATGATTATGAAAATTAAGCATTTTTAAGTGGATTTTTTTCTTTTACTGCAAGACATATCAAATGTGGGATGATATATGAGTGCAATGCTAATTAGTGTACATAAGCCTCTGTTACTTGTTAGCTACATTAGCCTCATAGCTCCAGTGCGAAACTAAAGAAGTAAACTTCGGATACCAAATATATCTTGGCCGAGGAGAAATTTGTGCAAATTAGGTTTTTGGCAAATGATTTGCTTTAAGGATTTTTGCAGTAGTTATGTGAAGAAAAATCCCCATGCATTCCTATTAGAAAAGAAAGTGTATAAATATGTGTATAAATACAAAATGCTGCAAGTAATTCAAGAAGAAAATGCCCTGTATTAGCGCTAACAAGATTATCATGAATGGGGCTGGAGTGGGTTATATTATCCATACTTCACATTAGATACCAAAAGCCACAATATACAGCACAAAACAAGAACTATACTGCACAGCGCAGTACAATAGCTCTTAATCTCACTCCTGTGGACTCCACGCTCTGCTAATGTTTGTGTTTCTCTTATCAGACAGCTAATCAGGTAATTACCCAGTCCTGTATGAACTGGTTCACGTGTCATAGCAGGAAAACCACAAAGAGCAGAGCATGGCGTCACCAGGACTAGTAGGCCTATATACTTCAGTTTTAATAGCATTGTGCCTCACAGTAGCTGCATGGAAATGACATCTAAATCTTTAAATGTCCAAATCTATCGCAAATATATGAGCCTTTTCAGTGTTTTAATCACGATAACTTAAGGCAACAAACACCAACCGGCCGCTTCATTAAAACTACCTCCTTGTTTCTACACGAATTGTCCATTTTATCAGCTCCACTGACCATATAGGAGCACTTTGTAGTTCTACAGTTACAGACTGTAGTCCAGTTTCTCTGCATACTTTATTACCCTGTTCTTCAGTGGTCAGGACCCCCATGGACCCTCATGGGGGATCATTCTCAGCACTGCAGTAACACTGACGTGGTGGTGGTGTGTTAGTGTGTGTTGTGCTGGTCTGAGTGGATCAGACACAGCAGTGCTGCTGGAGTTTTTAAACACCTCAGTGTCGCTGCTGGACTGAGAATAGTCCACCAACCAAAAACATCCAGCCAACAGCGTCCTGTGGGCAGCGTCCTATGACCACTGATGAAGGACTAGAGGATGACCAACACAAACTGTGCAGCAGCAGATGAGCTATCGTCTCTGACTTCACATCTACAAGGTGGACTGACAAGGTAGGAGTGTCTAATAGAGTGGACAGTGAGTGGACACAGTGTTTAAGAACTCCAGCAGCACTGCTGTGTCTGATCCACTCACACCAGCACAACACACACTAACACACCACCACCACGTCAGTGTTACTGCAGTGCTGAGAATCATTCAACCGCCCAAATAGTACCTGCTCTGTGAGGGTCCATGGGGGTCCTGACCACTGAAGAACAGGGTAATAGAGTATGCAGAGAAACTGGACTACAGTCTGTAACTGTAGAACTACAAAGTGCTCCTATATGGTCAGTGGAGCTGATACAATGGACAGTGAGTGGCTGGAAGGTGCTCTGTAATAAGATGGCATGTATTTCTCTTACAGAATATCTCTTGGAAGACCGTCTATGATGTCCTGTCCACCAAGCCAGTCCTGAATAAAGTAGGTGTTACTTTTTCCAATTGTTTGTCAGATATATAATATAAAAAACAGCGATATTTCTCAATAATTGCACTCACTCCTCTTTCTATCTCTCTTTTTTCCCCCCAACTACAGTTAACCACATACACTACACTCATGGACGTTTCCGAGGGGCAAGCTGGAGTCTTTTATCCGCGACTGTCCCAACCCCTGCATGCCCTGGTAGCTGGACACTCTTGAACATCTCTCCAGAACATTCCTCCATACGTGCTTATCTGAGACAAAAAAGCCTCACCACACATCGTTTTACAGTAGAGCAAGCATTCATTTTAAATATATAACCTTTTAACAATAAATAATAATAATGAACTTTGCTTACATAGCACTTTGCAAAAACAACTTTTCAAAAATAAATGAGAGAAAACAAACACTAAAAAATAAAGGAGATAAATATATTGCCTAAATAAGTAAATTACAAAAAAGACAAGGTCAGTTAGACATCAAAAGTTTACAAAGGGCTCTACAAGAGGATTAAAGCAGAAAAATATGAAGTGATAAATAAAGAGAAATAAAAAATTAAAAACAAAAAAAGACAGTAAAGTAAAAGTCTTAGACTGAGCCTAATTAAACCTAATTAAACACAATATTAAATTAGTGCATTTTTAATACTAAAGTTACTGCTATGCTATAAAGCACTGGTCTAATCATTGATCAAATCTCAGCAAATATTTCATAAACATTTCTTCAACATTAACAACAGGATGCCTGTCTGCAGCTGTGCTGCAGGTCTCTATAGTTACTGCTTTATTATTGTTCTTAATTTTATTCAAGGAAAGAAAAGCAGTTAGTTCTGGGGAAGTTGTATAGGCGTGTTTCAAATTCAAATGTAACTTGTTTTGTACTTAAAATACTGAATGTACACTGGATTATGATTAAAATATATTTTAATGTCATTCATTTTTGTCGGGATTAACATAAACAGACATCACTTCTTTGTATTGTGGCTCTTAAGGCTTGTTTTTAATGTGTTTAAAAGCCATATTATAGTTTAGGCCTGTAGCTCCAGTCCGGTAGTCACAGGGTCCTGCACTTCCATCATCAGCAGCTCAGTGGATATACATTTGTCGTTTTTGGACTGTGGAGCAAAGAAGGGAATTGTTTTACCCAACGGTTGTCATGACGAAGAGAGCTAATTTGTCCAGGTAAATTCATTTTCTAGGTCAGTTACTTTTTTATCTAGCCGATTTAGCCAAACTTTGCCAGCTGGCAGAAAGGACAATGTTGAGTGTAACAAGTCAGCACTAGATCTCTACACAGTGAACTATAGAAGTCATGAAATAAGCAAGTCAGCACTAGATCTCTACATACTGAACTATATAAGTCATGAAAAAGCAAGTCAGCACTAGATCTCTACATAGTGAACTATACTGGTCAGTAAATAATTAATCAAATGGCTCATTATAGGTCTAATAGAATGACATTTATTAGGCTGCACAACGTAACATCTACTGCACTATTTGGGGTGTAGAAAGCAGATATTTGTGGTTTAGGTACACACTTAAAATTGATGGTTCTTCAAGGGTTCTTTAGTAAAGTTCATGGTTCTTTATAGAACCATGAACTCTCAAAGAACCCTTGTATGATTAACCTTTTTTTTGCATGGTGAAATCGTTCTTCAAATTGATGGAGAATGTGCGGAAGATGGTTCTATATAGCTCCAAAATGGGTTCTGCTATTGTTATAAGTGTCAAAACAACCATCTACAGCACATTCTCCATTAATCTGAAGAACTATTTCACCATGCAAAGAACCCTTTAATCATTCCATACAGCATCAAAATGGGTTCTGCTATTGTTACAGACTTGACATCGAAACAACAAAAGAACCCTTTTTGGTGCTACATAGAACCCTCTTCAAAAATGTTCTATATAGAACCTTCAGGACAGGACATTTCACCATGCAAAGGACCCTTTAAATCATCCAAAGCGTTCTTCTGAGTGTTCATGGTTTTATATAAAACCACTTTCTTTACTAAAAAACTCTTGAAGAACTATAATGTTTTAGAGTGTAGTGCACTATATAAGGAGCAGAGAGCAATTTGAGATTTTGGATTTTTTTTCTCGTTTGTCATCTTTACACCTTCTTATATTGTTATTCCTTTAGTGCGTAATATTTTATGTTTTTATATAAAAGGGACAGAGGAGTTGGTGATGTCGTCCTTCATTTTCTGTCGTCCTAATGTTCGCCGTTCGAATATATGGCTGCTATTTAATAAACGGAAAAAGTTTTGCGTTAGCCGTTTTATAGTGAGGTGCGTTAGATGTATTTGGTTCATTGTGCATAGAAATACCATTGATGCTAATTTGCTCGCAATGATTGTCTAATATGCTGGTCCTGCCTTGTCAAAATGTTCTACTGTGGCGTGTACATGTAGCTCTCAATGTAAAACCATATGTAGGATGTTTTGATAGCCTAAAATCACCTCATCAAAAAAATTTCCAGCTAATTTTCCAGCAATATTATTTTGATGTGCTAAATCAGCGTATTGGAGGGTATGTAGAAGCAGAAACGTGCATTTCCTGAAGGAAAATGCAGAATGGTTGCACAGCTTAAATGGTTCCAACTTCCTGCTAGGTTGCTATGGTATCCAAGGTGGTTTAAGGTGTTGCTAGGTGGTTGCTAAGGTAGCACAGATGGTTGCTATGGTATTGCTAGGGGTTTGGTATTCCAGGTGGTTGCTAGGCGGTTGCTATGGTGTCACAGGTAGTCCCTAAGGTGTTGCTAGGTGGTTGCTAGTGGACTGCTAGGTGGTTGTTATGGTATCCCACATGGTTGCTAAATTGTTGCTAGGCAGTTTCCATGGTGTATGAGGTGTTTAAGTTGTTCATAAGCAGTTGCTAAGTGATAGCTGTGTGTTGTTGAAAATGAATGGGAGTCTATGAGAGGAGGGAGTACATGTACTTTGGTGGCTGTCAGGAAAAAGAAAGATTAGGGCTTTGTTGGGGCAAAAAATGAATGGGACTCTATGGGAAGGAATGAGGGATGAAAAACAACACACAGAAACATGCGGGTCAACCATAAATATAAAGCTCTGTCAGTATAATACACTTGACATTAGGCTGAATTAGCATCAAAAACACAGTAAAACTAGGTAACTTAGTATAGTAAGTTACCATACAATACTAATAACATGCTAATGTGCAGTAGGACCACTAAATGAGTGGGATAGATTGTTGGACCACCTTGTTCACAAGGGTTTATGATGTAAAAGTACATCCACCTAGTGGTTAATAGAGAAGCTGCAGGATTCTGTGTCTACAGGACTAAAGCTAACTTTCAAAAGTGGCTGTTTAGGATGGCCCATGGTCAGTTGGACCATTCTGAGCGAGGGTAGCTAACACACTGCGCCCTCTAGTGGACAAAAACACACTGGCAAATGTGATTTGAGTTTAGGTTTAAATCAACAAGATAAACATTTTTTTCTTGGTGTAGCTGCATAGAACATCAAGACGTTTCAAAGTGAAATGTCTCATTAAAAATTGAATAGACTAATTTTACTATTAAATATTGACACTGTTTAAAAATCAGAACTGAAAATGCCCATCTTTGAGTCTTTACGATGCTCCACCTAGTGGACATTCACTGAAAGTGCTGCTGATTCCTAGTTGAACTGGTTGTGCATGTGTATTGTGTTGGCAAATTGATTCATCTGAGAAAAATGTTTCCATTTCGAAATGAAAGGAGTCTTGATGGAAATAAAATTTTGAATGGTCCAGTGTGAGCTGATTATTGAGCTACAGATGAATGTGTTTACTTCAGAAAATCATCAACCAGCTTCTAAGACTGAACTTTAATGGTGTGTAAAAAAATCCCTGCTCATTTCTTTGGAAAACTACATCTTTATCTATAAATGTTTTAATTAAAGGTTTCTCTATGTGTGTGTGCTGTGTGAGTTAACTTCAAGTGATGTTGCGTAAGATCTTGCCACATTTCAGCAGCATGTGAGAAAGATCAGATACTGACTATTACTTTTTGGACACACACACACACACACACAAACTCAAATGAACGAATGCACAGGCGCACGAACCTGTACCATATTAACTCGGGCCCTGGATAACAGTGGACAGCCATGCTAACCGCAGTGATTCTGATGACCATCTGCTCCACTGCAGGTAGGACTCAGGCAGCAGTTCTGGATAGACATGATTGAACTTAGAGGACAGGTTCTTACTCTAAGAATGCTACTTAATTGTTAACGTGAGTGTTAGATTTAGCACAAAAATGAGCACAGTGCAGAATTACAGTCTTACAGCTTTCTGATTGACAGATAAGACCTTCTGCTGGTGGATTTTGATGTTTTCTGTTCAGATTCTCATGCTAGTTATTTGTTAGCTCTAGTTTAGTGATTGTAACTCTGATAAAATGGCTAAAATAATTCAATATGGCTGATTCGAGTGCAATTCCACTTGCCAAAAGTGTTGTTTTGAACTAAAGCGAACTTTCTGATCGTGGTATTGGAGCTTTCTGATTTTGACAGATGCTGCTGGTGAACTTTGATGTTTTCTTTTCAGATTCATGTATTAATTGTTTGTTAATTCCAATAAAATCATATTTTACATCTCAACAGATAAAGTATCTAAATATGGTTTGAGTGCACTCCCGCTTGCCAAATGAATGTTGTTTTGAACTAAAGCAAACTTCCCCTCATCCTGCGCTTTTTGAGAAGAGTGCTCTCGCTTCCTGTCTCTCCACCATTGAAACACACAATGTAAACGTACCCTCAAAGTACCAGGATTAGGATCATATGGGTCCCAGGGCAACTAGCAAGTGGCAACCACCACATAGCCCCCCCACCAAAGGTCAGCCATCCAGGTTACCTAGATAGTCTGAAGCAAGTACATGAAGTGTGCAGATTTCTAGCCAGCACAAGTACCATGGGCCACTCTCTCCTCGGTAGTCGAGTGCCCCAAGTCCTTACTAGAGGCCGCAGCAATTCCTTGCCATACCCCACTTTGGGTACACAATCCTCCAGCTCGATGGGCATCCTTTCCATCAATGTGCGGGATCAGAGAGACATTTCACTGCATCAAGTCTGTAACTACTGGGGACGGCGACAGCAGCAACGGCGCTCCTCTCCACTGCCTTCTGTTTCCATCTCTTCCTACGGCTTCTATTTCAGGTTCCTCTCTTTTGTTGTTTGCCGGCTTTTCTTCTTCTTCTTCTTCTTCTTCTTCTTCTTCACCATCTGCCTGTAAGTTTGTTGAAGCCCTGTTCCACTTCTTGCCACTTGGCAGTGCAATCCCACTTCTGACACCAAGTAAAAAAAAGACACACTCTGACAAGCGGCTGGGCAAAGCAGCCCAGACAATTCTAGACAAACGATTTCTCCTAATGGTAAGAACATAACCACCTATATCTCACCACAGCTCAACACAAAACACAACGCAAACAGCACATACACGCTACTCAGCAACAGTATTAAGGACTACAAAACAATAACAAATGTCCCTTCAAGGAGGGAAAACATTTGTGTGTTTCTTTGGTCTCTTGTTCAGCCATCTTGCCAGTTTTTCTTTTTTTCTCATATCACTCTGTTTGGAGTCTCTGAAAAACCTCCGTTTGTAGGGTCATGTAGCCCTAACACTTCACCCTACCCCTCTATCTCAACAACAATCAGGACACCCTACCCCTAGATGTGAACGCACAAAACAGAGGGCTAAGGGCTCAGTGGTAGGGGCAAGGGGTGAAATGGGACTGGGCCTAAGACTTTATTTAAAAACTGTTGATAGATAAAAGGTGATATATAATTTAGCAAGTGGCACTTAGAATTAACTTTGTCATCCTTTATATAACTGAAATAAACTGTAATGCAATTTTATTATATGGAAAGAGTAAATACATTCCTCATATCGCTACTTCAAATGTGTGAAGTTGAAATCAGGTGCTACTGATTTGAACACTGTTACAGAATATCTTGGAGGAACTTATTTAATCCTTAGATATCTGGTCTGGTTTGCTCTTTGTTATGGGAGTCTGTGGTATCATCATGCCTAGATCAATAGAGCTCTCTGTGGCCTTCAGAAAGATGACTATGAGTCTGGGAAGGAGTTTGAGAAGTGTTTCCAAAATATTACACTGCAAAAAAATGGGGTCTTGTCAAGTGAAATGATCTTAAATCTAGTCGATATCTAATATTTCCCATTTTGAGATGGTTGGGCACTTTAAGATTTTCTAGCATATTTCTAGACATTCTTTGCTTGTTGTAGGTTATTTTATCAAGTAAAATTCTGACTATAGTGGCAAATAATTTTGCTAATTTAGTTTCAAGCCCATTTCTTACAACAAGCAAAATGATCTGCCAATATGGTGAGAATTTTACTAAAAATAAGGAAAATAATCTTAAACTAAGCTTATAACAATCTCAACAGGAGAAATATTAGATTTATTGACAATTTTTAAGAAAATGTTACTTGACAAAATGCCATTTTTTGCAGTGTAGAAATCTCCATGTTTGTGTAATGTGTCAGAGTTTCCTTCAAGTGATGCTCCAGTGATGCTGCGTCAGATCTCGCCACATTTCAGCAGCGCGTGAGAAAGATCAGATATTGACTATCTTTCTGGACGTGCACGCAAACTCACATGAGCGAATGCACATGCGCACAAATCTGTACTGCCCTGCCTCAGAGAGCAGAACCTTATCATTCAGATCCGGGATAACAGTGGACAGCCATGCTAACTGCAGTGATCCTGGGGCCGTATTACAGGAAATTCTTAAAGTCTGAGGTCTGCTTTGTTGTCATGGCAACTTCAGTTAAGACAGAACAGCTCTTAAGTCTATAATCTTATCTTATTTCCAGATATAGACATCAGCGTCAGACTAATTAAATGACATTCTATTAAAATATTGGTGTTACAAAAGTGACACTGGAGTATTTTCACCTAAAATGAGTTAATGAAGCAGAGTCTTGTTACAAAAATGATAATAGGACATTAAAGCCATAATTAATCTTTTAGTACTTTTACTTCTGATACTTAAGTACATTTGAAGGCAAATACTTTTGTACTATTACACAAGTGGAGGTCTAAAGGGAGGAACTTCTACTTTTACTGGAGTAATATTTTGCTTTGGGTATCTCTACTTTAACTCAAGTACAGGATTTGTGTACTTCGTCCACCACTGACTGAAACTGTGGAGCAGCGTTGCTCTGATAAACAGCACAAAGCGCCGCCCCAACATTCTTAAGTCTCAGTTTGTCTCTCAGTTTACGTGCTTTAGTTTTGTTTGATTGTCATTACAGCAGTAACGGCAGCTAACATTAGCTGTCTGACTAAGTTGATTACGTGTTTACTAGATTCAGCTGTGCGTGTAGGGTCGGTTGCCAGGTAACAGACACGACAGTTGATTGTCGACGTCAATCAGAGTAAGTCAAGATTTCCTAACTTGAGATAAGAAAAGATGCTAGAAGATAAGATTCCTAAATTAAGATTTGCTTCTGTAATACGAATTTGTAAGAAATCTTATCTTGACCTGTCGTATCTTAAGTTACGACAAAAAGATGAGAATTTTCTGTAATACGGCCAAAAATGATCATCTGCTCCACTGCAGGCAGGACTCGGGCAGCAGTGCTAGATGAACTGGGTTGATGAGTTTTCACTTAGTTGTTAAAGTGAGTGTTAAAATCAAGCAAACTTCCGCTCATGTTGCACTTTTTAAGAAGAGTGAACTCACTTCCTGTCTCTCCACAATGAAATAAATGATGTAAACGTTTCACATGTAGTGTAGTGGGTAACACCTCTGCCTTTTACGCTGTAGACTGGGGTTCAATCCCCTGCCGGGGTATACACTATACCAATAAGAGTCCCTTGGGCAAGACTCCTAACACTACCGTGAATTGTCTAGAATTGTCTGGGCTGCTTTGCCCAGAGTGTGTCTTTTTTTTTACTTGGTGTCAGAAGTGGGATTGTGCTGCCAAGTGGCAAGAAGTGGAACAGTGCTTCTGCAAACTTTATCATTGTTAGCTCTAGTTTAGTGATTGTAACTCTGATTACAGATGGCAAAGAAGAAGAAAAGCCGGCAAACAATGGTGAAAGAGAAACCATCGAAAGAGAGGAACCTAAAATAGAAGCCGTAGGAAGAGATGGAAACAGAAGGCAGTGGAGAGGAGCGCCGTTGCTGCTGTCGATGTCCCCAGTAGTTACAGACTTGATGCAGTGAACTGTCTCTCTGATCCCGCACTGATCCCCCACATTGATGTTTACATGTAGTGTAGTGGGTAACACCTCTGCCTTTTACGCTGTAGACTGGGGTTCAATCCCCTGCCTGGGTAAACACTATACACTATACTAATAAGAGTCCTTGGGCAAGACTCCTAACACTACCTTCGCCTGTGTAAAATGATCAAATTGTAAGTCGCTCTGGATAAGAGTGTCTGCTAAGTACTGTAAATGTACCTTCAAAAGGTGCTTAACCATGGGCCATATTACAGAAACTTCAAGTCTGAAATCTTATCTGCTTACTCACCATGAGAACTTTATTTAGGGCTGAATTTAGTACAAAAGCTATTACAGAATAACAGTTCTTAAGTGAATAATCTTATCCAAACTCCAGATAAGAAAACAGTATCACACAAACATCCTAACAAGACAAAAATCTCCTAAATACTGTTCTAGCTTTAAGATAAACCCCAGAGCTCTTTTGTGTTGTAACGTAATGACATTACATTTATCTACACTGAAAAGTGCTTTGACTTGTGAGGGTTTTTTTTTCTAATAGTGTTTTAAAAGCCCAGACGCTGCAGACACAACCTCCACCATCCCTCTGATTACCTTTGTGTGTTAATGTTGATGATGATGATGAAATATTACAGTGATGGTGGTGAATAATGAGGAGACGGAGCTTAACGTGTGTCTGTTTATTAGGAGGAGTAATGTTAGCGTGCTCGGCTAAAGCGTTTGAGAAATGGAGACTGAAACCGGAGAGCGGCGACTCTGATAAAGAACAAGAAGTGCTGTAATCGGTAATGGTAGTTAAATGTTAACTGTCTGGTTCCCTAGCTTGATTACTTTGATCACGTCTTTACATTTCAGCTATGCAGTTGCTAGGTAACAGACGTGACAGTTGATTGACGACTTCAAATCGCGTACATTAATATTTCTTATCTTGAGATAAGATGCTGAGATTCCCAAATTAAGATTCGCTTCTGTATTAAGAATTTGTGAAAATCTCTCTTTACCTTGCAGATCTTAAGTTATGACAAAAAAAAATAGGACGTTTCTGTAATACGGCCCCAGGTTCTTATGGACCCCAGGGCAAAACGCTCTTAAGGTCCCTCCATACATGTAATTTTCTTGTTTATTTGTTATTACTATGTTTCAATTAAGTTGATGCTCTCAAGGATGCCCTCATCTCACTCCACCTTTCTCTCCTCTTGGTCATTTCATGAAGTTGTAAACACAAACCACAATGCTGTAGACTAGATGGGTTTACTACACGTCTTTGATTTAATTCCGTGATATAAAAAGACCACTCATGTGGGAGATTAGGGGTCAAGCCTCAAGGGAGGGCGGTTGTGGACATCTTAATGGATGGGGTTGCGCTGTGCTCAAAAGACAGGTCAAGCTAGGGATTCCGAAATCTCACAGTCCTCACAATGGGCAGTCTAAAGGGACCCAAAAAATTGGGCCCCAATAAGACTGCCCCCCGAATAGGCCAAGTATCGTTATGGTCCAGTTGTATACTATCATTTTATGTAAAGTACACTACATTCTAAGTGCAACTTGAGGGGGTCTCAAACATCTAAGCATTGGCCCTATCATTTGGAGATGCCAGAACCATTCATAGCTGACATTCCAAGAAATGGTCCTTCAAAAGGTCTTCATGCTGCTAACCAGTGTGGGCATTTGTTAGCTGATGTAAAAGAAATGGGCAGTTGGTGTTCTCCTCCAAGTGTGTTGAGCTGTCCAACAATGTTGCAATAGCAATAACCAACATGTTTGCTGGCACAACAGAATTTGTGAGTTCAGACCATGCCTTCAACATGGTGGTGGTAGTAAGAGGGCAGACTGTTTGAGGGAGTTTTTAAACACTGTGTCCTCTCACTGTCCACTCTGTTAGACACTCCTACCTTGTCAGTCCACCTTGTAGATGTAAAGTCAGAGACGATAGCTCATCTGCTGCTGCACAGTTTGTGTTGGTCATCCTCTAGTCCTTCATCAGTGGTCACAGGACGCTGCCCACAGGACACTGTTGGCTGGATATTTTTGGTTGGTGGACTATTCTCAGTCCAGCAGTGACACTGAGGTGTTTACACAACACACACACTAACACACCACCACCACGTCAGTGTTACTGCAGTGCTGAGAATGATCCACCACCCAAATAATACCTGCTCTGTGGTGGTCTTGTGGGGGTCCTGACCATTGAAGAACATGGGTGAAAGGGGGCTAACAAAGCATGCAGACAAACAGATGGACTACAGTGCACCTATATGGGTAGGTTGAGCTGATAAAATGGACAATGAGTTTAGATACTAGGAGATGTACTTCATGTTCAACTCAGTAACTGTGTGAATTCTCAGTAAAATCCTCTTCCATGTCTCTTCTTTGGTTAGACATGACTGGAGTCAGACTGGTGGATGGCGATGACCAGTGCTCCGGGATACCAGAAGTCCTTCATGAGGGTGAATGGTGGGGAGTGTTCAGTTATTTTTTTTTATACAGAGATGCTGTGTTGTTCTGTAGGGAGCTGGACTGTGGGAATGCAGTCAGTGTTTCTTTAAAAAGTGATTTCAGAGGCCGGAATGAGAAAGAATGTATTTTAATTAGTGAAGACCAAAAATCATCCATTTCGGAGTACCAAACACTCACCCTCACCCTCGAATCAAATTTTCTCAACACCAGCACAGTTTTGGTCTGTTCAGGTGAGAGTTTACACTTCGGAAACATTATAGGTCTAAAATGTGGTTTAGAACGAACAGCAAATGTTTTGTTACTTTTTACCCAAGACTCTGTGAGGCTTGTGGACGGAGCTGGACGCTGCTCTGGGAGAGTGGAGGTGAAGTTCCATCAGTCCTGGGCTTCAGTATGTGAGTCTGACTTTGACCAGCAGGATGCAGAGGTAGTTTGTAGGGAGCTGGGCTGTGGGACTCCACAAACTCTACAGGGGGCGCTCTTTGGAGAAGGGAAACATCAATTTGGGACCAAAGAGTTCCAGTGTGAAGGTACAGAGAACCGTCTCCTTACCTGTAGCACCTCAGACAGAGAGGAGAACACCTGCACACATGGCAAAGCTGTGGGACTCACCTGTTCAGGTAGGAATTACATATTGAATCCAATATTGAGTGAAACGAATGGGTTGAAAAAACTCCTCTAAATATGCACAGAACTATGTTATTTCTCAGCAGAGCTGTTCTGTCAATTTACAGTACTAGCAGCAGAATTACCAGGTAATTACTATTTACAGCAATCATACTGTAATGTTTGTTCACAGCAATGGCATATTGTGCTGTACAATTAATCACAGTACAAAGCAGGTTTTAGACTGCAAACTGACAGCAGTATATTACTGTAACAAACAAACTGTTGTCTGAATATTAAAAATGTTTATTGCTGCTGTTGGAAGAAAACCTCATCTTTTTTTTTGTCGTTTTTCAGTTTCTGACGTAGTTTGAAAATGCCTGTTGCCCTTTACATTGTGTGCGAATTTCATGATGAATGGTCCAAAAGAAACGGACCAAAATGACTGATAAAATTCTGGTTCCATTGACTTACATTAAAAAGTAAAGTAGGTTTTTTCCTTCTCCTGTAAAGTTACCATTTTGGAGATACAAGATTTTCTTCCAACAGCAGCCATATGCAAATCCATATTACGAAGTTAAAATGGCAGTTTTAAAATTGCAGTTAAATTGCTCTTGAATGATTTTATAATAATAAATAGTCCAAAATCCTGTCAAAAAACAAAACAAAACAAAAAAAAGTTGTTTCATTGCACTTTTTACACTAACAACCAGTCTTTCAAGAGCTAACAAGCCCCTCTCTTAATACTCAGTGATCCTATAAGATGAAGTATTTAATACAGAATTCATTGAAATATATACAAAGCAAAAAAATGTTATATGCATGTCTTGCAAAGCTCTAAAAGCCCATTTCAAACTCAAGCTGTAAAACCACTGTTAGCTTGGTGCTAACATGAAACAAAGACTGAATCCTGTTGCCAGCTAGCTGAAATTAGCATTGGCGATAGCAGTGGTAAGCAAACTTAGAGAGAAAAAGGATTAAAAAAAATATAGCCCAGCTGCTGGTCTAAGCTGGTTTATGCTGGTCCAGCACTGGTTTAACTGGTCACCCAGCATGGTCACGGCCTCCAAAATACAACATAGGTTGGGTTCGCTGATGCTCAGCCATGCTGCTTTATGCTAGTTTTTCTAGCAAGGGTTCTACATTAAAGACTGCTATTTAATAACATGCAGTATATGACCAAAAAACACTTGTGAACTTGTTTGAATATCCAAAGCTTTATTATGTGCTGGAAGATTGTGCTAGGAAAGCTAGCATGCAATTAGATACAGTAGCTAGCTAGGCTAATGTTAACCAAAGTATTATGGTGTCCAGATTTGCTGTAATGATGATTATGCTGTATGCTTTTACTTATTATTACAATAATAATTATAGTAGTCATGTATTAAGGTGTCTGATACAGGAGAATCTGTACCCAGAAAAAACAGCATATGTTGTGTTTTGGATGCTGGTATGCTAATGGAAGTTAACATGCTGGTCACAAGCAAAACCAGCAAATTGCCACTGTCAGAACAAAATCTCATATCTCCAACAAGGTAACTTTACAGGAGAAACCAAAAACAACCTTAAATTTGAATGGAAGTCAATCGAACAAGATTTTTTTTAAGTAATTTTGAAGCCAATTTCAACGCAGTGTAAAGCCAAACTTTCAAATCATGGGAAAAGAGATAAAGGTTTTGTTCCAACAGCAAAGATATGTTGTTTTTCCACATGCAGGTCAACCAGGATGCTGTATAATACTGTAAAACACGTTATAATGGCTTTACAAAGAACATTACTGTAGAAATCACAGCAGCTCTTTAATGTATCCCTTGGTCTATTGTTTATCCAGGACCTGAGGATGTGAGGCTGGTGGACGGGAGCAGTCGCTGTGCCGGAACGGTGATGTTTTACAGTGGAGAGTGGAGAAGAGTGGGCTCACAAAGTTGGTCCATGAGAGAGGCTGCTGTGGTGTGCCGACAGCTGGACTGTGGCTCTGCTGTTTCAGCTACAAAGAGAGTGTCTTCTGAAACTGGATGGAGCGTTTACATTGGCTGTAAAGGATCTGAATCTGCATTGAGGGAATGTTCAATCATGAACACTTTTGAGATCAAGTTCCTTGGGAGAGTGATGTGTTCAGGTAATTTAACAAACTGCTCCGCATCTGATTCATTACTCGCATAAAAGGAATCACGTACAGTGAGTACTTGAACAACAGTTACATGGTCTGAAAAACATATTTGAACAACTTTAGCATGAACTGGAACGTTGATTAAGTCATCTTCTCTGACCTCTCAAATGCTCTTTTGATTGAATGGGTACACAGTCCCACAGACACAGTCCAAAATCTGGTGGAAAGCTTTCCAGAAGAGTGGAGGCTGTTATAGCTTTAAAGAAGAGGCCAACCCCATACCAATGCCCACCTTTGGAGGCATCTTCACTTTTGCCTTCCTCAGATTAATAAGATGTTCAAAATATGCTTAGCCCCCAGATTCTTGGACTCACTTCAGCCCACAAAAATTCCAGGCCACAGTATTTGAGGCAAACGTTGACTGGACTGAGTGGATGCTGAGGTAGTCTGAGGGCAGCTGGGCTGTGGGACTCCACACCCTACTGGAGACACTCTTTGATTGAATGGCCCTGTTGTTGCATTTCATCTCTGATGTTTTCTAGAGCAATCTGTTCAGGTACTTCACCAAAAGAAACATTAACCAGATTTCTTTTATGCTAATTCCCAGGTCTCCTGGTCAAACCCTCCATCTCTTTCTCTACTCCCATAAGAGTGTCAAGGGGTCTTCAGGGACCAGAGGTGTTCCGGGGCCACAGCTTCACAATCACCTGCTCCACTCAGCCGCAGTACCCAGGAGGATCCTTCCACCTCAAATTGCCCTGGACCAGAAGCAACGACAAGGCAGCTGTCAATCACTCAGCCTCCTTCCTCTTTCCTGCTGCCGATGATTCCCACCAGGGGAGCTACAGCTGCGTCTATGAGAATAAAGAGGTCTATCAGTTTGAAAATGAGATTGAGTTGGATTCTGGGTCTTTCGTCCCAACCTTCTTCTCTGAAAGTGAACCTATATCCATCATCGTAACAGGTAATCTTGACTTTGAAACCAGGGCTTTCTGTTCAGTTGCAAAACAATGTAGATGTTGTGTCTCCTGTTGCAGATATTTGATTGCTCAGTTTCATAAGGCCTTCAGTTCAAGCCATAAATTGTGGTTGGAATTACACTCTGCAAGAAGGAAAGTCCCCAAGACTTTTTGCTCTTGACATTGATCCCAGCCTTGTGAATAAAAACATGAGTGGGTTATTGAAACACAGTTCCTAACTGTGTTGGTAGTTAATTTAATGTAGAAGGCCCTCAGTTCAGCTCCTGAAGTCCAATGGAAGAGCTTGCTTGGCAGTATCTATCTGGATACCATGATGGGAAAATCCTGACTAGACAGTTTCCATTGGCTGTTTTTTAACCTTTTGGTTTCCAACCAAACCTTAACATTGGAACATGAGTAATACTACAATATTTGTAGAGTTTACAACAAGCATAATGAACAATAAGTACAACCCAATTTCCAAAAAAGTTGGGATGCTGTACAAAATGTAAATAAAAATAGAATGCAATGATATGCAAAATCATGTAAACCACATTTTTAAAGGAAAATATTAACCAGCAACCTGGTTACTTTTCGGTGTGAAGTACCTCATCAACCTGGTTACTTTTCGGTATGAAGTACCTCGTGGGCGGGCGGGCAGGCGGGCAGGCAGGCAGGCAGGCAGGCAGAGAAAACAACTTGGCTGAATCTATTGAGCATTGTGAACACAAGAAGTGCAAGCTTTTTAGGACTTTGGGGATACTATGTTAGAGCTTTGTCTCAATGATACTTTTTGTCCTTGATAAAGTTAAAACATCGTTTTTAAAAATAGTATGTGCGCTTGTGTCACTTAGATTCCCCATTACCTGAAGCAACTACCAGAATGCTGCTGGTACCATTGCTGTTGCTGACTATCTGCCTGTTTATCTTTTTGGCCTCCAAAAAGTGGGGACATGTCATCATGAGAATCCAACCAGGTAAGTGAAGGTTAAAATCATGAATGTCAAAACCTTTCTTACCACTACTAATAGACTATTCTTATTATAAATGTGTTGAATTGGCTTTCAGGGAACAAGAGGGCAGCTGCAGTCCAGTCAGAGAACATAGAGATGAACTCCCTGCAGCCCAATGCTGAAGAGCCGTAGAGAGTGCCTGTAGAAGAGCTTTGAGAAAGAGGAAGGCCTCTTAGCAAAAATGCATTGTAATGTACAAATGCTCGAATACTCAATGTGGATTTGATAAGGATTATACAGACTTATTATTCATTAATATGGATTTAAACAGTTATCAGACCTCAGTACTTACACTGCTGCAGTTGTGCTATATTTCCATTTTAAACCATGCATGTTCATATTCAAGTTCACTTTGTATGGTAGACAGGGGTTAGCGTTGCCATTTCACAGATGCTCTGGCCATAACAATTTGTCCCTTGTCAAAATCGCTCAGGTCTTCACACTGGCCCATTTCTCCTGCATCCAACACGTCGACTACAACAACCGACTGTTCGCTTACAGTCTAATATCCCAGACCTTGAAATATGCCACTGTTACGAGACAGTCAACATTAGTTGTGAGTGGTCATAAAGTTTTGGCTCATTCTGAAATTTGTGTGTCAAAGCTGATTTTTTTGTTTCCTTTTATTCATGATTTGCCAAGCTAAAATGTATAACAACTTGATTTTAAAATAAAATATTTTGAAACTAATTTCTTGGCCACCTCAGTGTCTTTCTAAGTTGGGTTGCACATCTGTCATCTAAACCTTGTGGACCCACATTTGCAGCGTTACGTGCCTGCGATGCACGCAAGGTTTTGTTTCTTTTTTCTCTCTCCCCCTTTCACCCAACCAGATCACTGTACAGGCGTGCAATGGACCAATGAGGACGTCGCTGATGCTTGGCTGCACTCTTCTCCACTAAACAGGATCGTTGCTGTCTGCTGAGGGGCAGGTCTTGGCAGATAAAAGGACTCATCTGAGAGGAGTCATGTGTGGGGGCATTTAGTGTGCTTGTGACTTATGGCGCCAGCAGTGATGTTAAGCTGTGCTACTTTAGCTGTGAAAATGTAGCCAGTAAATGGTAGTCTCCCGTGCTCCCTCTCTGGCTCTCTCTTTCTCTCAATTTTCTCTCCTTCAGTGCGATGTGTGGACGGGCAAGTTGGGTGCGCCTATTCATACACAGTAGTGGTTTGATTGTTTAGACACATCAGGTAAGGGGCTGTATTTTGGTGAGGATTAGACCTGGCTAAGCAGATAAGACTTTGGTTTATTTATTATATTCGTTTGGCACCGTCCTCCGTCCACCTTTGCAGTTGGTTGGGTCCTACTAGTCAATACTTTGCTCTTTCATTGTAAATATTATTCTTGTATCATACACTTTTTGCAAGCGAGAAGCAAAGTAAAGAAAAAGCATTGACTGAACGCGCAACTACTGTGTCCTTGTGTCCTTCCCTTTCGTCTCCCATCACGTCATGTTATGTCCTCTCTACCCCTAGCTACATCTGAGGGGAATGTAACATGCAGCATCAAGAGAATGAGAGATCTGATCTAGGATCAGTTTGCTGGCTGTCAACAGTTGTCCTTTCTGCTAAATCAGCTCAACTCTGCATATCCTGTCCTCCTATAGGATTTTCCTCTGCCAATGAAACATAACAGTTTCTTTTGCCCAAGCTCTGAGCTAATAAGGGGTTTTTCCAAATTAAAAAAATAGAATATTTGGAGAGAAGTGCCCTGTTCAAGGCTTCGCACTGTAATAAACATTTATACAATATAAGATGGACAGCAAACTCTAATTGTTATGGGACGGCAAGGAGGCGGACCCAAGTGCAAAGATGAAAACCTTTGAAAAGGGGTGTTAAACAAATTTATTGAGATAATGGGACGTGAATAGTCACATTGGGGTTAAGGTGACTCAGAGCAAGGCTCGAACCACCGATGTACTGATCGGCAGTCTGTACAATTACCGCTGCACCACTGAGAAGCACAGGTGACAATGGGTAAAACACCAAGAAACGGGGGATAAAAAGGCGGGAAAACGCCAAACAAAGGAAACTTGGAGCCATTTGTAGCTCAGACCTTCTTGTTTTGAGTAATTTTGGGGCAGTTACTCTCTTTTGTTTTTTCCAGACCTCTTTTCTTTTCTTTTCATTTTTTTTGTCTTTACTTTTCTTTTCTTTTTGTTTAAATACCCACCTAGGCTGCGTACTATACCGGTCACCCCTCTACAAAGGTGTGACAAAGGGCTGTTGTTTGCCACAGCCTTAAGTAGAGTAGTCCACAGGTGTGTCAGGTTGGGCCTAATCAGCCCGAGGGCTTCTGGGAATTGGAGTTCCCTAAAGTTATGGCACTTCGCCACCGTTGCCCTCTGCTGGCGGCCGGCGGTGCAGGCGGGGCACCTTGCCGCTGTCGTCCTCTGCTGGTGGCCGGCGACACGGGCTGGACCCTTACACTAATAAAGCCAAACTGTTAACTAAGTAATCTGATAGCTACTTACCAATATTTTCTGCCATAAAAGTATTAGGTTCTGCTTACTGTTCTGACAGGGTACGTTTTCCAGGGGGAGGTGGGGTAATGCAAGTTCACCACAGGATGTCTGTAATGTACAAAACATGTCAAAACATTTAATTTAGCCATTATTATTCTGGAATCACTGTGTGGAGTTTGCCTGTTCTCCCCATGTCTGCGTGGGTTTCCTCCGGGTACTCCGGTTTCCTCCCACAGTCCAAAAACATGCAGTTCAGCTAATTGGACACGCTAAATTGCCCCTAGGTGTGAGTGTGTGTGTGAAGGTGTATGTCTGTCTGTCTTCCCTGAGATGGACTGGCGACCTGTCCAGGGTGTATCCTGCCTTCCGCCCAATGACAGCTGGGATAGGCTTCAGCTCCCCACTGCGACCCAGAAGGATAATATGTATGTATTCTGGAATCAACTGTCAACTTCACTGTATAAAATTCAATGTTTTCCTTTTATTTTTACAGTTCAGTGTTCTGAGTTGTACACTTGAGGTATGGACTGACTTGAATTTAACTTCAGAGAACACAAGTAAATGCTTTTTCGAGTGCGTCCATATTTAAGCAACTCCAACATGCCGATTCGCACTGGATTAAAATAACCTGGTGTTATTAATATGGCATGTTTTATAGAAGGTAAAAGACAGCAGAAAGACTGACATGGTGTGTTCAGATGGGACTAAAATGCTGGTTTATTAGGCACTTTTTTGCCTGGTACCTGTGAGGTCCACCTGTGTTATAGGTCCATTATGTATAATTACAGACTGTAGCTTGTTGTTGTTCCCTCTCTACCCCATTCATCATTTGTCAGTTTTTGAGCACAGAGTCACCCTCAGAGCCAAGCACTGTGGATTGTACGTGGACTGCAGTGAAGAATGCATGGGAGCCTGTTTCTTTAGATGACTTAATAAATGTTGGAAAAGTATGAAAAAACAGTGAGAGGCAGCCATGAATGTTCAGTGAGCAGTTATTTGTATCTTAGTCGTCAGTCTCCTTCAATTTTGTATGTAGACTACTGATTTCTGACACTTGAGAAGAAATGTCTGAACTTTGAATTATGTTTTCAGGAATATGGCTATTATTAATGAGGTTAGACTGGTATAGCTTTTGTTCTTAGAAAGTCTAAGCAGCTCAAATAGAGTGCCTGTGTTATGTAGCGTGTTATGAATTTGTATTTGAACATCAACTATTCCCTAATAAGTTTATTCTTAGACATTCAGGGGGTCCAAGAGGTTAATTAGCAGGTCCTGGACCCCCTTATTTTGCAGCTTGCCTACAGCTAGCCTAGCCACTGAGCTACAGCCTGATAAATACAGCCAAAGCTAGCATTGTAGTAACTCTTGCCTTGGTTTTCAAACAAATTGAGGAATTCAGGTGATTCTGTCTGTATTCACCACAAAATTAGATGCTAAAGACAAGTTTTTACACTTTCAGACAGAAAATAGGAGCCAAAGTGAGATAAGTTATCTAGATAGCCAGCTGCGTTGCTAACTTTAGCTTTTAGCTTCTTGTCCTCCTCATCTGTCAAGTAATTTCTGTCTGTTGAAGAGTGTTACTACAGTTGCACAGCTGTAATTAGCTATTTGGTTACATTCCTAGCAGTAATGTTAGCTATCTGCATTTATCAGCTGGTAAAACAAAAAGACAAAAAAGAATATTTCAAAACAGCACAACCCCAAAAATCCACCCAAAAGCAGTTAGTTTCTCCCATCTTCAAGGTACATAATTAGTGGAGGCTTTTTCTAGTATTTGAAAACTGAGTATTTCACTCTAAAGAATATTGTGGAACCAACTCAGGATGCAAGTCAGCATGCTTACAGCAGATAAAGTGATTTAACGTTACATGTAATGTAAAGTTACATTTTTCATTTTGGCCACAGTGCCCCTTTAAGTTACAAGGCATGAGAGGCCTTGCTATGTGGTTGCAGAGATAAATCGTCTCTTTGCATTCCAGCTCATTTGAGTTATAGATTTTGGCTGTGCAGGTGGTTCTCCTACACAGTGACCCACACACTGGACTGAACCTGCGTACATGACTCTAGTGATGTTCTCCTGTTGCACAAGAGGAGATTACATAATACCCTTTCTGAAATACTGAAGAACTGCATATAGAAGGACAGACGGCAGGCTCTGGACAACAGTGGACAACCATGTTAACTGCTGTGATACTGATGATCATCTGCTCCACTGCAGGTAGGACAGGAGCTGGGGGGACAGGGTTTAACTTAAACGAGGTGTCTATACATAAAGATAACATAAAAGAAGTAAGAGTTGAAATGAAATAGCATTTCTGCTGTGGTTTTTCAGGAACTAAAAGAGCTTTGAATACATCTCTATATATCATTAATAACATATTTCACACAATACTGGCAGGATTGTGAATAAGAACTAGAGGCCATTGATCTAACCACTTCATGTCTACCTATTTTGGAATTCACTGTTACCTTTGTTGGTTGCTAACTGTTAACTTTTGACTTTAACTTTTTTTAAGAGTTTTGTTGCATCAGTATGAATTTTGGCAAATCACAGTTGGTAAGGGACCATGTTTTAAAACCAAGGCACGTTTATTTACATACTATGAGCAAACCAAGCATGAAAAAACATGAAGACAAAGCACTTAGGAGTGAAAAACAATGGATCATTGGATTAACTTTGTAAAATATTAAAAATTGTGAACTTAAAGTAACCTTCCTGTCATGCTGGAGTCCTTCCAATATGTATTCTTGCTTTGTGTCTCTGGGTGAAAGTTTCTTGCGCCCTCACGTCAGAGAGCAGGGGAGGGTATATCTTTATCTAGTGCAGTGCCAGGGCTGAGTGTGCACATATTATTGCTATAGCGTAGCAACTTAGTGTTTCAAACGTTGTATTGTGTTTTTAATGTTAATTCAGCCTTTTGTCTTATGTTTCATATTACTACTCTCCCCCTGTTAAGGTGATTTGGGCTTTCAAAATAACTCTCGAACACCGCTGAGGGACGCGAGTGACGGCGGGAGGAGAAGAACCGCGAGTGAGATGGGGGGGGTGGAGCGCGAGTTCCGGGACCCGCTTCCTGGGTGCCGCCTCCAGTCCCTACAGTGAGGTCACTTTAATTTGCCTTACATCCAACCTGGGTGGCTGACGTCCTCCTCCCGCCCTCACTTGCATCCGTCAGCAGTATTCGGGATTCGGGCCTTCGTGCCGGATCTCGTGGCAGTCATCGGGGCCCGGGGGATGGGAGCATGGCACACCTACCTATACATTTCATGTCATCATTTTCTGATAGGGTGATTAAGGTTGTCCAAATAACTTAAATATAGTTTTAATGCTGGAGGCATGATTAAGTGGTTTATGCTATCAAAAATATTCTACCTACAGTTGTATGTACTGAGCTCTTGTAGGACATTTTGACAAGGTAGGACAATTTGACAGTACACCAGATCTTCCTAAGAGGCAACATAAGTGGCTGCTTAGAGCCACCAGGGTCCCCCTAACAACTAGTTTGAATGGCTCTATGGCTCTATTTTTGCTTTGAACATCATAAACATCAGTTGGGTAACCAGTGTCTTAAAGTCTAGTGGGTGAAGAAAATCTACTCTTCAGATGTAAATATTTAGCCAGAAAAAATGTAAAAATGATTTATGGGCCTGATTGAGGGATAAACTGTAAATATGCGACAACGAGCTGCATGAAGCTGTTTCGGCCGGTAGTTTGAGACCACTGCTCTGGATGGTGTTTTCAACAACTACTTGTAGTGACAATGCATCTGTTTAATGACTTCAGTACAGTTCATATCAGAAGTTGGTGACTGAACTTCCTCTGTCTCCTCTTCATTCAGAGATGTCTGAGGTCAGAATGGTGGACGGCGATGGTCGCTGCTCTGGGATACCTCAAGTCCTTCATGAAGGACAATGGAGGAAACTGAGCAATGGCCACATTGAATACAGTACTATTGGGTTGCTGTGTAGAGAGCTTAACTGTGGAGACGTAGTCAGTGCTACATTTGGAAGTGATTTCAGAGGCAAGCATGGTGACCAATCTCTAATTGACCTGTATTGTGATGGCAGCGAGTCTCTTTCAGAGTGCAAAAAGTACCGCTCATCCATCCAACCTGATTATCTCAACATCAGCATTACTGTCAGCTGCTCAGGTGAGAGTTTATCAGGCTCAGATTTGGACTGATGTTCCAGTGTGACCACATTATGAGACTTGCTATGATATATTAAAATAAAAACAATGTATTTTACCCTCACTTTTTGCTTTTTATTTTACCCTCACTTTTTGCTATTTTATTTATTTGCTCTGTCCTCTCAGACTCTGTGAGGCTCGTGGATGGGGCTGGACGCTGCTCTGGGAGAGTGGAGGTGAAGTCCCATCAGTCCTGGAGCTCAGTATGTGAGTCTGACTTTGACCAACAGGATGCAGAGGTAGTCTGTAGGGAGCTGGACTGTGGGACTCCACTAATTCTACAGGGGGCGCTCTTAGGAGAAGGGAAACACCCATTTGGGACCAAAGAGTTCCAGTGTAAAGGCTCAGAGAACCGTCTCCTTACCTGTAGCACCTCAGACAGAGAGGAGCACACCTGCACACCTGGCAAAGCTGTGAGTCTCACCTGTTCAGGTAAGGATTGATCTATCTATTCTCCATCCATAAATGCTTTCTTTTATAGCTGCTGTTGCTAGGTTGGATAGGTGTTAGAAAAAGTCTAATTCAACCTAATGATAAACTGCAGGACACAAATCAAAAATACATAAATGGAGATTGTGTGATAGGTCACAGTGTACTGGGTGTAGTTTTTGGTCATGCTATTGAGGACAAACATCTGATTGACAGGCTAAGAAGACGACATCAGCTGTTGTAGCTAGCTAAATCATAACCACTAGATATTGGAGCACTGCTAAAGTTACTGAAAGGAATTTGCCAACATTTACACTGGTAAAGTCAAGCTGCTCAGTGGCAGCGCTTCGGAGAGAAAAACAGAAATGAAGTGGATAAAGTACATGCCCATGTATTGTCGCTGTAAATGCCCATTGCACTCAAAATGAGCTTAGACCTTCTCTATGGCCAAAATGAATGAGGTTTTCAGGGTCCTGTGTACTTTGTTCTCCTGAATATCACTGGATTATGAGGTCATCAGAGCCGTATTACTAATATTGCTAATCCTACTGTGCATCAATTCTTGTTCTGATGAGTTGTGCTACCTTATCGAAATCACATTTGGGTCTCCTTATCAAAAAGTACCATCAGCATTAAAACTACTAAGCTGAAGTCAGCTTCTTATTCGTCAGCTTCTTGTTAGAGTTTTCCTGTTCCACCTTAATTGTCTTTTTTTTAATGGTTAACTTCTCTTGGATGGCTTGTTATGATTATACAGATCCATATGTATGTAAAAAAAAATAAATTACCGTAGCACATAGTTCACATATTTCCACTGAAAACAGACTTTCTCAGTACATGTGAAAAAAAGTGATTTGTGGAGCATTTACTGGCCGCTTGGTTTTGTACAAATAAACTTGAACCTTTGAACTTGAACTTGAAAGGATTTTGCAGTTTTGTTGGCCTATTTGTTTTTGCTGTTCTGTCTGTTTAAACAGTGAGGGCTGTGTTCCATAATGGTCAAAGGTAAAAAGGACAGTGTTTAGAAACCGGGAGGCCAGGGGGCGCTAACTACTTGTGTAACGGTGCATATTCCTATTCAACTTTCACACAGACCAACTGCAACTCAAGGTCTAAGCTCAATTTCTCTATGGCCAAAATGAATGGGGTTTCTATCACACCCTGTGATAAACAAATATATTCAGACCCGATACATTTTGTACTGTGTACATTGTTCTTCCGAATATCACTGGATCCCATGAATTATGAGGTTGTTAGAGTCATATTAGTAATATTGCTAGGGCTACTGTGCATCAATTCTTGTTCTGACAAGTTGTGCTACCTTATCGAAATCGCATTTAAGTAGATACATAAAACTCTAGGTCGGATATTTTGATAGCCTAAATCTCCTGATCAAAAAGTACTATCAGCATTAAAACTACTAGGCTGAAGTCAGCTTCTTATTTGTCAGCTTCTTGTTGGAGTTTTCCCATTCCACCTTAAATGGTGCAGCAGTTGTGATTGAAGAATCTCTGGAAGAACGAAATGCACAGCATGTGCAATGAACATATACAATACAATAAAGCTTGCAAATATATTGAGCGAGAGTATAATGTATTCTCTGTTAAAAAGTCTTGAACACAGGGACACGAGAAGGTGTTTTAAGTTGGGGGTACTAAAATTTTAAGCAACGTATATGTGATGTGACCGATGACATCAAGCCAAATAATTTGTCTTTTTTTCCATTTTATTTAATTAATTCATTTATTTATGCAAATTTACATCAAACAAAACATGTCATACTGTGCTATAATGAGAAAAGATATACATATGACTGACACATCCAACCGCTGGTGTACAGTTTCTCTCTCTGCTCTCTTATTCTGGACAAACTCAGCGACCAATTGGATTATTGATTTGTGGCATGATGTCACGCCCATAGTCTCATGCTGAGACTAAGACTGAGACTGGGAAGGCATACTGACCAGGAGATATAACAATTGATAAAGTTTTATTATTACGTTAGATTATTATTTTAAGTTAAAAAACAATATGAGGCTACTTTGGGGCTCAGAACTGTAACTCTGGATAGATTTTCCTCTTTGAACCTCAGATGGGTCTTTACTTCGCTCAAATTATTATAAAATTCAGAACGTTTTGTAAGAAGTACTTATTATTTTTAAGAGTTGCAATCCTGAAATCAGGGGGTGCTGCAGACCTGTCAGCACCCCCACACCCATATCTTGAGATCTCAATTATTCAAATTACTGTCCAAGAAACTGTAAATATGTCTGATTTTAGGAGCTTTTCTTCTGGGAAAGGTATTGCTAATACAGTGATGGGCTTTCTGCGCTCTCTCCAGGACCTGATGATGTGAGACTGGTGGACGGGAGCAGTCGCTGTGCTGGGACACTGGAGATGTTTCGTAGTGGAGAGTGGAGGGGAGTGACTGCAGACAGATGGTCCATGAAGGAGGCTGCTGTGGTGTGCAGACAGCTGGACTGTGGTTCTGCTGTTAAATCTACAATGAGTGTCCCTGGAGGAGACGAGACCAGATGGGGTTTTCATATCGCCTGTAAAGGATCTGAGTCTGCAGTGAAAGAATGCACAATTTTGTACAGCTCGAAGATCAGATATCCTGTAGGAGTCGTCTGTTCAGGTATTTCAACTAATAACAAATGAGGTTTGAGAAACATTTGCAAGGTATAGTGGGAACCACAGCACTTAAAGACTTACACAACATAAACTATGTATAAATGAACAGAATGAAAAACACTTTGCTTTTAAATCAACAAAATCAAGAACTATCACTATTCTCTGAGGCCGTGGGTACAACCACCTCTTGGGCTAAGAAGTGTCATTATTCAAATACACTACATTCTCACACGCTTTAGGCTATCAACATACATACACATACACCTACAACAGTGTAAATGATATGAATCCACTCACTTTAGGTAATGCTAAATTAGATAATTAGGTAATTGAAATAATTTCACAAGTGTTTTTTTACTTGCAAAATTATTAAGTCCAGAGAAGCCCTAAGGTAGGTTTAATTTTCTGGATTGTTTTCTGGAGATAACAAGTTAATTATCCTGTGAAGTCCAGAGAGGCCATGACGTGTTGCTATAATTTTCTGGATTGTTATCTTGAGACAAGTTAATCATTTTATGATCTCAAGATAACAACTTTGTTATCTTGAGATAACAATGAGTTAATTATCCTGTGATCTCAGAATAAAGTTATCGTGAAATAACAAGTAAATTATTTTGTGATCTCAAGATAAAGTTGTCTTCCCAAAGCATGATCTCACTACCATTCAACATAATCCTTCAGCTAGCGCAGAGAATATCGCACCATAGAAATGGCAAGCAAACCTCCACCTTTAGGGTTTCTGGCTTTTGTTGTACACCAACAGAAGGGGCTTCTGCTTCACTCCTCATGGTCCTCTTTATAGTCCAGTGGGAAATGGCTCCAGTCTGGAATTTGTGTTCTGACTTGATCAGCATGTCTCTTCATTCTCTGTCTGTTCCACAACTTCACTCTATAAGAAAGAGGTAGAAGACTCGAATCACTGCCTCCATGTGTCCACTTTTTTACCAGTCTGAAATTCCAAATGAAAACAGCATCTCCAGAAGTCTGAAGCTTCTGAATGTCTCATGATCTACTCACTACATTAGTCATTTCTGCTGGATTTTGGACTTAAGATCTTGTTAAGTACATAAAATCTTGACTTCAGCTTTCTGGACATCAGCATTTTCATCTGTGAAGGTTTTGTGATAAGTTCTGTCCTCCAATTTGTGTGATAGCTCTGTACAATTAGGCATTACAGAATAAGATGAGAATAAGAGTTTCACACTACAAAGAGACACTAGACAAGGATGTTCACTGTCTCCATCTTTATTCTCAATTTTTATAGAACCACTAACAGCAGCAATCAGACAAAATAGACACATCAAAGGTATAATTACACAAAACACACAACATAAGATCAGCCTCTATGCAGATGATACATTCTTATACCTACAGGATCCATGTAACTCTCTATAAGAGACAATAGCACTTATGAATACATTCTCCAAAATATCTAGCTATTCAATCAACTGGAACAAATCTATAATTCTGCCAATCTACAAAGGTGGTCGTAATGGTGTACCCCAAACCCTATTCCCTGTCTTCACCATTGGCAACATTAAATACCTAGGCATCATTATATCCTCCGAACTGTCAGAGCTGTTTACTCTTAATTTCAAACCACTGATAAAAACCACAGAAGAAGATCTGCAACGTTGGATGATGCACTTACCTATTTCATTACTTGGTAGAATAGCAACTATAAAAATGTCCATCCTCCCAAAAATAAATGACCTATTTACAATGATCCCCTGTCCAACCACCCACTAGCTGGTTCAAGTCACTAGATTCTGCAATAACTACATTTTATTGGAAAAATAAAAACCCAATAATTAAACTACACTACAAAAAAAGCAAAGAACTAAGACTCGAAGCACCAAATTTTTATATATATTATCTGGCAAGCCAACCGCAATACATATATATCTGGACACATCCTGAACAAAAATATCATTCATGGTTAGAAATAGAGCAGGAAATCTGTAAGGAAATATCTGTATCAGACCTTCCATTTATCAATCACACAATAAAACAGCATACATGTTTCCGCAATGCTGTCATATCCACAACTCTGAGGGCCTGGTGGAAAATGCTCGACATTACCAATTGCACCTTAGCACCATGTAAACACACTCCAATTTGGCATAATCCCAGTTTCCTGCTTAACAACTCACCATTAAACTTCACCGCATGAAAACAAAAAGGGATCACGCATCTACATTATGTTTTCAAGGATAACACCTTTATCTCATTTGAAGATTTGGTCCAGACATTCAATATCGGGAAAAATCAATACTTACAATATTTTCAACTCAAATCTGTATTGAAGTCTAAAATAAATATTACAAATAACCATCTTCACCCACCCAAACTAATTGAAGACATTAATAAAACAAAAACTAATAAGAAATTGCTTTCAAAATTCTATAAACTTCTCGCTAATTTGGATAATATTGTTGTACTTCCAAGTTTAAAATGGGAAAAAGATCTCAGAATCTCTCCTGGGGTTGACTTCTGGACCCGACTCTGTAAAACCACTTTTACAATGACAACTAGTAGTCATTGTGATCTCCAGCTGATTCATTAGAAAGTAATTCACAGATCACATATCACACAACATAAATTGTATAAAATGGGACAAATGGGCGCAGACATACGCTCCTACTGCACTTTAGACACTCCTGATACCTATTTTAATGCTCTATGGACATGCCCACATATACAACAATTCTGGCACTTTGTCATCGACTTTATATACCTCACTCTGGAGTGTAGCATTCCATTATCCCCTCTGCGTTGTATGCTGGGTGACTACACCATTTTGAACCCCCACAACAATTATACCACCGCCATACTCATTACCCTTCACTATAGCCGAGGAAATTATCCTTAAACACTGGAAGACCAGGAACTCCATAAACATTACACAATGGAAAAAACTACTTTTAACGCATATATCACTGGAGAGATAAAATGCTATAGAAATGAATCAAATGGCAATATTCAACACTTCATGGGAACCATTTATTAAAAATATCTACCCGTTAGCACTGTAATCCACCCACCACTGTCTAAGCCTGTTAATCAATCCCCTCATTTCAGTAAACACTTAAATACTTGCAGTAGTTAGTTCACATATACATCAAGTACACATATCAACACACACCAGCTTATATACACACACACATATACACATGCACAAATATGACATGAATATGAAATATTACATTTTGTTAATCCGTTTCTTACATTGAAAACATTCCATAATATTCCATACATATGTCTTTCTTGGAACAACTTTGCTTGAAAAAAAGATTTTAATCTGCAAGTTGAAGAATCATAATCTATGTTTGGTTGATACAGTATTGTCATTTCTGATAGTGGAGAGATATCAAGTTATCCTTTCCTTATATTCCATGCTTTATTACAAACTCTGCATTTCCCTGCATTCTTTCAGACTCTGTGAGGCTAGCAGATGGAGCTGGACTCTGCTCTGGAAGAGTTGAGGTGAAGCCCCATCAGTCCTGGACCTCAGTATGTGAGGCTGACTTTAACCAGCAGGATGCAGAGGTAGTCTGTAGGGAGCTGGGCTGTGGGGCTCCACTAACTCTACAGGGGGCGCTCTTTGGAGAAGGGAAACATCAATTTGGGACCAAAGAGTTCCAGTGCAAAGGCACAGAGAAGAGTCTCCTTACCTGTAGCACCTCAGAGCGTCAGGAGCAGAACTGCACACCTGGCAAAGCTGTGGGTCTCACCTGTTCAGGTAGGAATTATACAACCCTATTTCCAAAAAAATTGGGATGCTGTAAAAATGTAAATAAAAACAAAATGCAATGATGTGCAAATCATTTAAACGCTATATTTCATTGAAAATGCTTCAAAGACAACATATCAAATGTTGAAAAATATTTGAATGTGAATTTGATGCCACTCTAAAATGCAAAGAAGAAATCATACATAAACAGGATCCAGAAATGCTGCCACCTTCTCTGGGCCTGAGCTCATTTGAAATGGACTGAGGAGAAGTGGAAAAGTGTCCTGTGGTCCGATAAATCAACATTTGAATTTCTTTTTGGAAATCATGGACACTGTGTCCTCCGGGCTAAAGACCACTCAACTTGTTATCAGTGCACAGTTCAAAAGCCAGTATTCATGATGGTATAGGGGTGCATTAGTGCACATGGCATTGGTGACGATGTGCTCATCTGTGAAGCCACCATTAATGCTGAACAATATATACATGTTTTGGCAACATATGCTGCCATCCAGACGACGTCTTTTTCAGGGAAGACCTTGATTATTTCAGTAAGACAATGCCAAACCACATTCTGCATGTATTACAACAGCATTGCTTCATATTAAAAGAGTCTGGGAGCTAAACTGACCTGCCTGCTGTCCAGACCTGTCACCACTGAAAACATTTGGCACATTATAAAATGAAAAATTCAACAAAGGAGACCCTGAACTGTTGAGCAGCTGAAATCCTATATCAAACAAGAATGGAAAACATTTCACTTTCAAAACTAAAGCATTCAGTCTTCTCAGTTCTGAAACACTTACAGACAGTTGTTAAAATAAAAAAGGTGATGAAACAGTGGTAAACATGCACCCATCCCAACTTTTTGGAACATGTTGCTGCCATCAAATTCAAAATGGGCGTTTTTTTTTTTTAAACAATAACATTTCTCAGTTTCAATTTGTTGTCAATTTGTTGTTGAAGCATTTTCAATGAAATATTGCATTTAAGTGATTTGTACATCATTGCATTTTTGTTTTTATTTACATTTTTCACAGCATCCCAACTTTTTTGGAAATGGGGTTGTACATGACTCTGACTCAGAAAGCATGTTTTTAAAAGACTCTTGTAAAAATGTCTGGATTCATAAGCACAGATGATTAATACAGCAAGTGATGTTTTTACACTCGTTTTCAGAACCTGATGAAATGAGACTGGTGGAAGGGAGCAGCCGCTGTGCTGGGACAGTGGAGATATTTTATAATGGACAGTGGAGAAAAGTAGGAGCCGAGGTCTGGAACATAAATACGGCTGCTATGGTGTGCAGACAGCTAGACTGTGGCTCTGCTGTAGCAGCTACAAAGATAAAATCTGATGGAGATGTACCTGAAGTGGGTGTTCTGATTTCCTGTAGTATGCTAAAAATGAAGAAATGCCATCCTATGAGAATTCGGCGTATTGAATACCATGCTGGAGTGATCTGTTCAGGTAATTCAACAAATGAAAAATGTAGTTAGTAGGTAGATTATTTTTTTGAGCAGTGTCTTGTGGTAGAATGTGGTTGGAACTAAATCAGTTGTCCTGAAAGCTCTCTATGTAGAATTGCACAACTGAAATGCACTGTTTCTCCCTGCAGTCTTCCTCCACAGGGCCTAAAGTGCACTATATGAGACATAGCAATCAATTGAGGTGTGGACTCGAGTCATATGACTTGGACTCGAGTCCGACTCGAGTCACAAATTTGATGACTTTAGACTCAACTCGAGAAAATCGAGAAAGACTTGGGACTCGACTTTGACTTCAAAACCAGTGACTCGGACTCTGACTTGGACTTGAACGTCATAACTCGGAAAGACTCGAGACCCAAAGTGGAAGAATTGTGGAGAGTGTCTGACTGCAGATGGGATTCTAGACTTTGAAAACACCACAAAGACACATACACAATATGGACAAAAGTATTGGGACGCCTACACGTTACGCCTACAGGGGCTTTTATTACATCTCATTCTAAATCCATAGGCATTAATATGGAGTTGGTCCCCATTTTGCAGCTTTAACAGCTTCCACTCTTCTGTGTTTATGGGAATTTGTGCCCATTCATCCAGAAGAGCATTTGTGAGGTCAGACACTGATGTTGGATGAGAGGGCCTGGCTCACAGTCTCCATTCCAGTTCAACCCAAAGGTGTTGGATGGGGTTGAGGTCAGGGCTCTGTGAGGGCCAGTCAAGCTCTTCCACACCAAACTCAACCAGTCAGGCCCTTATGGAGCTGCTTTGTGCACTGGGTCTCAGTCATGCTGGGACAGAAATGGTTCTTCCCCAAACTGTTCCCACAAAGTTGGAAGTGCAGAAATGTCCAAAATGTCTTGGTGCTGAAGCATTAAGATTTCCCTTCACTGGAACTAAGGGTTCTAGACCAACCCCTGAAAAACAACCCCATATCATCATCCCTCCTCCACCAAACTTTACAGCTGGCACAGTGCAGTCAGGCAGGTAATGTTCTCCTGGCATTCGCCAAACCCAGACTCGTCCATCAGACTGACAGATAGAGAACTGTGATTCATCACTTCACAGAATACGTTTTCACTGCTCCGGAGTCCAGTGGCAGTGTGCTTTACACCACTGCCCCAACACTCAATTTGGAACTGGTTAGCCCACCATCTCCGTTTCCACTCCCATGAGAGAGTCTAGGAGCCTCCAGGGGCCAGAGGTCTTCAAAGGCCACAGCTTCACCATCACCTGCTCCACTCAGCCGCAGTACCCAGGAGGATCCTTCCACCTTACACTGCCCTGGACCAGTAGAAATGACTCCCAGGCAGCTGTCAGTCACTCAGCCTCCTTCCTCTTTCCTGCTGCCGATGATTCCCACCAGGGGATCTACAGCTGTGTCTATGAGAATCAAGTGAGCTTTCAGAATGATGAGTTTCAAGAGGAGAGTCAGAAGTATTCTAATCGCTGGTCTCCTGGGCCTTTCATCCACAATTTCTCCTCTGAGAGTGAGCCTCTCTCCCTCATCGTCACAGGTAATTTGCTATTACAATTGTAGCTTTATGTCATGTTCACATGGGTCTTTGTTTAGTTGAGATGTTTTCCTGTTTCAGATTCAGATGGGGCAGCTGGAGTCTAGTCAGAGGACACAGAGAAGAACTTCCAGCAGCCCAATGCTGATGAGCAGTAGAGAGTGCCTGCAGAAGAGCTTGGATTAAGAGGAAGGCTTTTTAGGAAAAATGAATTGTAATGTAGAAATCTCTGCTGTCGGAACGAAAACTTGTATCTCCAAAATGGAAACTTTACAGGAGAAGCAAATAACATGCTTTACTTATAATGTAAGTCAATGGAACCAGATTTTTTGTCCAAGTAAGTTTGGGTTGTTTCTTTTGGTCCATTCATCAGGAAATTTACACACAATATAAAGAGCAACAGCCATTTTCAAAATATGTCAAAAACTGAAAAATGACAAAAATGGAATTATGAGGTTTTGTTCCAACAGCAGCGAAATGATTCTACCCAAATACTCAATGTGTATTTGAAGAAAATTATACAGACTTTTACTATTCATTAACATGGATCTAAATAAATCTAGATTTTTATCAGCACATTGAAATCTAGTTTGGTTAATGTTACGACTTCCATATACATTTTTAAGTGCACACATTTACACAGATGAGCCAAAATATTATGATCACCTGCCTAATATGCTGTTGGTTTGCCGCGTGCCACCAAAACAGCCTTTGCCTGCCGAGGTATGGACTCTACGAAACCTTTGAAGGTGCCGCAGGGTATCTGTAACCAAGATGCTAGGAGCAGATTCTTTAAGTCCTGTAAGTTGTGAGGTGGAACTGCCGAGGATTGGACTTCAGATGTTTGATCGAATTGAGATCTGGGGAACTTGTAGGCCTGCGCAACACCTAGAACCCTTCATCATGTTCCTCAAACCCTATCCAGCCCTATCCGCAGTGCCTGGGGAACAGTTGGGGGTTAGGTGTCTTGCTCAAGGGCACTTTAGTCACGTGCTGTCGGCTCAGGGGATCGAACCGTTTCCTAACCACCAGCCTCCGACTGCCCCAATGTACCCGGCCATCCATGTGATGTAAAAGGAAACAGAACTCATTAGAACAGGTAATATTTTTACCCTTTTCACCAGAAAATACGATCCAAACTGAGAAAAGTATTTAGATAGCCACATACATTGCTAACTTTAGCTTTCAGCTTCTTGTCCTTCTCATTTAGTGATTTCTGTCTGTAGAGAGTTACTACAGGCTGTGCTATTCGGCTTCCTAGCAGCCAAGCTTATATCGGTCTGCTGGCTAAGGTCGGCGTCCTGTTGACCTGCTGGCCACTACTTGTCCACCCTTGGACGACCGAGTTGGCATATAAGGTCTAACTAGTTTTCAGTTTCCTTAAACAGATCTTTAATGCTCAAAGCCTTTTATTTTGGAAAATAAACTAAGACAAATATTACAAACAACTGAGAGAAAAAAATGATCTAATTGAAAATGTTATTGCTGACACCGTGCTAGATTAAAATTATTTACTAAATTCATTTACAAAGGAAAATAAAAGAAAGAAATGAAGGACTGAAAAAAGTGGACTGTGAGTGGAAAATGAGTGATGAAAAGTGGCATTTTGTCTAATAGTCTGCTTAACTACCAGTGAGCCACCAGGATAATGCTGAGCAAAATGCCAGTGGACCACCAGCTTTGTAATCAGTGGGCAAACAGTGGTCCACTGTATTCTAGCTACTGGGGCACCTTCAAGATACCTCATCAGTAGAAGTTGTTCCTAGCATGTAAAACCGAATATTGCACTCTAGACACTACGGTGGAACCAATGTAGGATGCAAGTAAGCTTGTTTACAACAGGCATATTAATAGTTGCATTTTTCAGTTTGGCCAGAGTGCCTCTGTAAGCGATAGGGCATGAGAGGCTTTGCTAAACGCAGTCTTTTCTTTTAAATGACTTTCTTTTGAGAGTTCTAGTTTTTGGCTAATAGTTCTCTTATAAAGTGATCTACACATTGGCCTCTGTGAAGGTGTTTGCATGACTCTCTAGTGATGTTCTGCTGTTGCGCAAGAAGAGATCAGATAATACCTTATCTGAAACACTGAAGCATTGCATGCAGAAGGACTGCAGATTGCAGGTCCTGGACGACAGTGGACAGCCATGCTAACTGCTGCGATACTGATGATCATCTGCTCCACTGCAGGTAGGACTCAGAGCTGGGTGGACTGGGTTTAACATAGAAGAGGCACTTGCAGTGTTTTAGAATGTCAGGTAGGATTAAAGAAGTAAGAGTCTAAATTGACTGACTTTGAGCTGCTGTGCTTCTGTTGTGTTTTTTCAGGAACTAAAAGAGCTTTGAATAAATCTACACTGTTAACAATGTTTTTCACACAATTCTCTGAAGATTGTGAATAAGACCTATAGGCCCTGGATCTATCCACATCATGTCAACCTCCTTTTGTGATTTAGAATCTAGTTCGGTGATACATTCATTGGTTGCTAACTGTTCACCTTTGACTTGTTTTTTAAGAGTGTTTTAGTTATATAGCACATTTCATATACAAAGGCAAGTCAATGTGCTTTACATAATACAAGCAAACCAAACATGAAAAGAAAAATGAAGACAAACTGCTTAAGAGTAGAAAACAACAGATTAACATTATAAAATGTGAAAAATTGTTAATTTAAAGTGAACTTCCTGTCACGCTGCAGTTCTTGCTTCATGTCTCTGAGCGGAAGTTTCCTGTGTCCTCACGAGAGAGCAGGAGAGGGTATATTATCATGCTGGTTATAAGATTCTCTATTGCAGTGCCATTTCACAGCTGCTGAGGGCCCCTGTGGCCACCAGTTTCCCCCAACAACTTGTTTAAATGGCTCTATGGCTCTATTTTTGCTTTAAACATCATAATCATCAGCATAAGCTGATTTTCTAGAGCTTTGGCACAACAGTGTCTGGTGGGTAAAGCAAATCTGCTCTTCAGATTTAAATATTTAACCACAGAAAATGGAAAAATGATTTGTGGGCCTGATTTAAGGGTGAATTGTAAATATGTGACGAGCTGCATGAAGCTGTTTCGGCCGGTAGTTTGAGACCACTGCTCTGGATGGTGTTGTCTACAGCTACTCATAACGGCAAAGCATTTGTTTTAAGGATTAATTCTTTGGTACAGTTCATATCAGAAGTTGGTGACTGAACTTCCTCTGTCTCCTCTTCATTCAGAGATGTCTGAGGTGAGAATGGTGGACGGTGATGGTCGCTGCTCTGGGATACCTGAAGTCCTTCATGAAGGACAATGGAGGAAACTGAGCAATGGCTACATTGAACACAGTACTACTGGGTTGCTATGTAGAGAGCTTAACTGTGGAGACGTAGTCAGAGCTACATTTGGAAGTGATTTTAGAGAAAAGCGTGGCAGCCAATCTCTAATTGACCTGTATTGTGATGGCAGCGAGTCTCTTTCAGAGTGCAAAAAGTACCCCTCATCCATCCAACCTGATTATCTCAACATCAGCATTACTGTCAGCTGCTCAGGTGAGAGTTTATCAGGCTCAGATTTGGACTGATGTTCCAGTGTGACCACATTATGAGACTTGCTATGATATATTAAAATAAAAACAATGTATTTTAACCTCACTTTTTGCTCTCTATTGCCCTGTGTCCTCTCAGACTCTGTGAGGCTTGTAGACGGAGATGGACGCTGCTCTGGGAGAGTGGAGGTAAAGGCCCATCAGTCCTGGACCTCAGTGTGTGAGTCTGACTTTGACCAGCAGGATGCAGAGGTAGTCTGTAGAGAGCTGGACTGTGCGACTCCACTAACTCTACAGGGGGCGCTCTTTGGAGAAGGAGAACATCCATTTGGGACCAAACAGTTTCAGTGTAAAGGCTCAGAGAACCGTCTCCTCACTTGTAGCACCTCAGACAGAGAAGAGAACACCTGCACACCAGGCAAAGCTGTGAGTCTCACCTGTTCAGGTAAGAGTTGATCTATCCATTCTCCACCCATGAATGCTTCCTTTGATAGCTGCTGTTGCTGGGTTGAAACACAAATTAAAAAACTATATTTATTATTGTGTTATTCCTTTCAAAAAAAGGATTTTGTTTGTATGTGAAAGGTCACACTGCACTGGATGTTTTTGGGTCGTGCAATTGAGGATAAACATCTGATTGATAGGCTGGGAAAAATAGTTGACATTAGCTGTTGTAGTGAGCCAAATCATAGCCTGTTTTCACTCTCCAGCGCTGCAACTGAGTAGTTTTAATTTACCAGTGAAAAATGTTGGCAAATTTCTTATAATAACCTAAGCGATGCTTCAACACATAGTAGTTTAGGCCCAAGATTCTCAACCCTGGTCCTGGAGGCCCAGTACCTGTTATTGTTCATAATAACTACACAAGTAGGAGTAAAAGTAGGCATCGTCATAAAAACCTGAGTTAGAAAATACCTGCTGAAAAGACTGGTCAAATAGTAATTTTTACATTCAACAAGCAACGCCTGCGCCTTGTTGTAGAAGAGCTAGAGCAGGCACATTGTTGAAAATAAGGTATTGGATCATTTTCAGTACCCATGAACCTCTAAACTTCAGATATGAATGTTTTTAAGGGAGCTCAAGTTTCTTTCGGGAGAGCTAAGCTCTTCTTGGTTTCCAGTACTTCAACGTTACTATTGGTTTTGGTATCTTGTGAAGGAAACACGAGGCTGGGTTTGATCTGCAGAAGCGTCCGCTGACTCCATTTTCACAACCCAAAGCCCAACTGTTGTCCTGCAAAATGTGTCCTGCAAAATGTGACAATATGATTTGACAGAGTTGTGGGGTTTGACCTTTGGGCAACAAAGGTACCAGACAGGATGAGGGATGAAGAATCTCTGGAATAATGATTTCCTTTTCCCTTACAAATATTGAGTAGGATTTTACAGTATTCTCTATTAAATACAACCTCACAATGTTGCTATGAAAGAACGCAGTTGATACAATGGTAACTTATTTAAAATACTGTCCAAGAGACTGTAGTTGTAAATATTTCTGATTTTAGGAGCTTTTCCTCTGGGAATCTTATATCTAATACACTGATGGACTTTCTCCACTCTTTTCAGGACCTGATGATGTGAGACTGGTGGACGGGAGCAGTCGCTGTGCTGGGACACTGGAGATATTTCATAGTGGAGAGTGGAGGGGAGTGACTGCAGACAGATGGTCCATGAAGGAGGCTGCTGTGATGTGCAGACAGCTGGACTGTGGTTCTGCTGTTAAATCTACAATGAGTGTCCCTGGAGGAGGCGAGACCGGATGGGGTTTTCATATCGCCTGTAAAGGATCTGAGTCTGCAGTGAAAGAATGCACAATTTTGTACAGCTCGAAGATCAGATATCCTGTTGGAGTCGTTTGTTCAGGTAATTCAACAAATAAAAATTAGGTCTGAGTAACATTTTGGGAGCCAAAGCAATTATCTTAGCAATTAACATAGACAGCAAAAACTGTGTGTAAATAAACAGAATGATAAACACTTTGCTTTTAAACCTGGAATGAAATCAAGAAGTAGCACTATCCTCTGAGGCTTGGCTTCTTTGTTTTCTATTAAAATGAACACTTTGGGTACAGCCACCTAATGGGCTAAGAAAGGTACCCAGTGTCATTATTCAAATACATTACATTCAATCACCTAATGGGCTAAGAAAGGTACCCAGTGTCATTATTCAAATACATTACATTCAATCACTCACTATCAGGTTTTTTTCCTAAGGGAAAGGCACACCTGTACCATTTCATAACCTATTTCTTGTTTTTATAAAGAGAATAATAAATTTAAAGCTTTAAGATAAGACAGGATGGATGGCAGGGATGTCCAGTCTTATCCACAAAGTGCCAGTGTGGCTGCAGGTTTTCACTCTAAACAAAGTAGGACCGAAATTAAATATGGTTTAATTATGTTTGCTAACTAAAGGTACCCTTGAGGATACCATCCCACTGAGTTTAGTACCCTTTTTCCTCAGAGTGTAGGGAGTTCATGGTGGACTACCTGACTCCGGTGATCCAACAAAATCCTTCAGCTAGTTTAGAAAATGTTACACCATAGAAGCGGTAAGCAAACTTCCAGCCTCAGGCTCTATGTCTCTTACAGTACACCAGCAGACGGGTGTTTTGTTTGAGAATGCTCAACAAGTCCTAGTAGGGGAAATTCCTAGGCTCTTCCTGACACTCTTCCCAGGCTTCTACACAGGCCTGTGGATACTGACTCCACTCTGATGTTCCTGTTCTGACTTGATCGTTATGTCTCTTCATCCTCTGTCTGTTCTCCACATTCACTGTATAGGAAAGAGGACTTCACCTCCTGGATGTAGCTACCAAGTTATGATCTACTCTCAGTTTCAGTTGTTTCTGGTGGATTGTGGACTCAAGAAATTACTTGAGCATGTAAAATCCTGCATTTCTGCCTGCAAAAGTGTCGTCATTGCCTGTAGGGTGATGTGATAGGTGAACAGGAACCTTTAGACTCTTGTTTCAGCAGTTCCTCCTTGCATTTTTCTTATCACATACTTGAGACATCACAAGAGGTCAGCTCTTTTTCTGTGGAGTAACAGACCAATTATTTTTGCTGAAACAACAAGCCTTTTTTCTTCCGTTTTCTTCCCAGCAGGCATGTCTACTTTAAACATTAATGGTTGTACTTACGGGTGGCCATCTTAAAAACTGCACTTGGAAAAAGCTTGTTTAAGTTAAAGAACCATCGTTTTTTTTACAGTGTACTAAAAGATGATACAGGATTGTCAGCTTTGATAGTGGAGAGATATCAAATACCTCTTTCATTATATTCCATGCGTATCACTCACTCTACATTGCTCTGTGTTCTTTTAGACTCTGTGAGACTTGTGGATGGGACTGGACGCTGCTCTGGGAGAGTGGAGGTGAAGTCCAACCAGTCCTGGACCACAGTATGTGAGGCTGACTTTGACTGGCAGGATGCAGAGGTAGTCTGTAGGGAGCTGAGCTGTGGGACTCCACAAAAGCTACAGGAACCTCTGCTTGGAGAAGGGAAACATCCATTTGGAACCAAAGAGTTCCAATGTAAAGGGACAGAGAACCGTCTCCCTACCTGTAGCACCTCAGACAGAAAGAAGCAGAACTACACACCTGGCAAAGCTGTGTGTCTCACCTGTTCAGGTAGGAATCACACACAACTTTCAATCAGAATGCATGTTTTAAGTCTGAATACATGAGCATTGACGTTTTTTTCCAGAACCTGATGGAATGAGACTGGTGGATGGGAACAGTCGCTGTGCTGGGACAGTGGAGATGTTTTATAATGGACAGTGGAGAAAAGTGGCAGCAGATGTCTGGGAAATAGAAATGGCTGCTGCGGTTTGCAGACAGCTAGACTGTGGCTCTGCTCTGGCAGCTACAAAGTCAAAGTCTGGTAGAGATAAACCTGAAGTGGGTGTCCTGATTTCCTGCAGTAGGACAAAAACAATCAAATGCCGTCCTATAAGAATCCGGCAGATCGACTATCTTGCTGGAGTGATCTGTTCAGGTAATTCAAGAAATGAAAAAGTAGGTTTTTCAGCAGTGCCTTATGGAAGAGTGTGGCTGGACCTAAAGCACCTGTCTTGAAAGCTAGAATGTAAGGTCAACAAAGACACAGAAAACATGAAACCTGGGAACAGCAAAAGTTGGTTGTAACTATTTGCTAGATCTTGACAAGACCACAACAGTACATTCTACTATATTTCCTATGAAGCCTTTACATTCAAATACTCTGTAGATGGAAACATGGAGGATTTGCCATCTTACCTATTTGATAAACACATGACTAACTTTAGCTCGGTTGCTAGCCTGACCTGTTTTCCTGACATTTTCAGCCATTGCCAAACACAGTGAGCAAATCTCAAATCTTTAATCAGTGATGTAAAAGTAAGTTGCACCCTCCATTGACCACTGAATCCATTGACCAAGATGAGAGGATAAAGGTCAGTGACAAGCCAGAAACTTGCCAGAGACTTGATTCTGAAGCTCCTTCTTGTGATTACAATGATTGAGATGTTTATGAGCAATCTTTAATTCAATAACTCCAATGTTTAGTAGCATATGAAACTGGCAATTCCTGGAACTACAGATACATACACTGATAACATCACCACCAGACTCAGGTGCAAACAGTTTTTGACCAAATTTTCTTATTATCTTATTAAAATCTTTTTGGCTCACCTTTTGTGCTTGTTCACAGAGTTCCTGGCACATCCCACCATCTCTGTTTCTACTCCCATAAGAGAGTCTAGGAGCCTCCAGGGGCCAGAGGTGTTCAGGGGCTACAGCTTCACCATCACCTGCTCCACTCAGCCGCAGTACCCAGGAGGCTCCTTCCACCTCACACTGCCCTGGAACAACAGAAGTGACTCCCAGGCAGCTGTCAGTCACTCAGCCTCCTTCCTCTTTCCTGCTGCCGATGATTCCCACCAGGGGAACTACAGCTGTGTCTATGAGAATCAAGTGAGCTTTCAGAATGATGAGTTTCAAGAGGAGAGTCAGAAGTATTCTAATAGCTGGTCTCCTGGGCCTTTCATCCACAATTTCTCCTCTGAGAGTGAGCCTCTTCCCCTCATCATCACAGGTGATCTACTATTAAAATTGTAGATTTATGTCTATTTCACTTGTTTTTTTTTCTTTTGAATGGAGATTTTTTTCTCTGTTGCAGATTTAGATACTTAGCCGGTATCACGCTCTGTAAAGCTTTAACCTCAGGCATACTGCACTGCTGTTGCTTTGCCTTGTATTCTGTCATCACATAGTCAAGCAGAACCTTGTTTAATTTTATGTTTGTTTGTAAATGTGTGTTTGTGGTTTAGATTTTTCATGGACTCCATTCATCACCAGAATGCTGCTCGTTCCATTTCTGATGCTGATAACCTGCTCCTTCATCTTTCTCATCTTCAAGAAGTGTGGACATTTCTTCATTAGAGATGCAGGTGAGGGTCTACATTACCAGGACAGAACAACTTCAGCAATGCACTGGTCATTAATTCAGTGATCAGCTTAGATGAAAGTTTGCAACTCATTACCGAATCGTTTGCTTTGGTTGGATCAAGAATGTTAAGCGAATAACATGCTAACTTGTGATTTCTGATCTTATATCTCATACTGCTATCTGTAAAAATGGAGGACAGTATGGACAAAATTCAGGCAACACCTTTTTCATTCATAGAGATTACTGTCATACAATTTCAGAAACCACATAATCAAGTCTATTAGAGACTACATTAGCTGCATTAGCTGTGTAGCTCCACTGCAAAAGTAAAGAACCAAACTTCAGACACCAAACATGTCTTAGTCATTTACTACAATTAAGATAAAGGTGAGAATTTGTGTGTTTAAGATTTTTCACTAAACTGTCACACTGTTAAGGATTTTCTGTTCATCACTGTGGTGCATTGGTGTCTACAGGCAAGGAAAGGGCAGCAGCTGCAGTCCCAAAACAGAGCATCCAGCTGGTCTCCCTGTAGCTCAGAGCTGAAAAGAAGCAGAATGAAGCTGCCCAGAGACTTGGAACAGGAGGAAGAGGATGGGCCGGATTGGAATTAGGTTCATAGTGAGTGTGATGTGTTAAAAAGAAAGAATCTGCCTCTTTTTATCCCTAAAATGCCAGATAATTTGTGTTTAATACTAAAGCCCAACTGATATATCTGTTGGCTGGTAATACCAGCTGGTATTAGCAACCCGTGTTTTTTCTGTAAAGGCAAAAATTTCAGTGATAATTAGTAACTTTTTTTGATCACATGATCACTGGCATACAAAGTTGCACTCTGATTATTATAAAGCGAAACCTTAGACAGTTAAGCCACTTCTGTTTGGGTTTTCAAGCTTCTTAATGGCTTGTTCTTGAAATCTGTAATTGTGTCTGACGTGTTTCTATTTTACCTTCAACTGTGCTGAGGATTATTGTCTTTTTTAATGAATTGGTTCTTCTCATAAAATGTCCAAAATAGTGAGCTTTAGTTTGGTTATCTGGACTTCGAGTAAACTGTGAGGCTTGATTTGCTCAAGAATCCATTCGTCTTCTTGCTGTTCTGTACTGTTTCTGCAAATGTTGCAAAAATTCTGTCCATTATGTGACAGCAAAAATATATCTATATTCCCCCATTCCTGGGTGGGAGAAGTCCCATGGAATCTATTTTCAGGTCAGCCCAGGGGCCCTCCAGCATCTGTCTTGGCAGTTCTTCTTTCCTTTTACGATTGCTGCAGTGTAACTATTCTCTGTTCCTATTGCAGTTCTTACACAGATGGCGAATGTGGCCACATATGTAACATAAAACTGCCAGATTTCTGGTGTTCAGAATTCTGCGCCTGCAATAGCGCCTTTTGGATTTCTGCCTCTGCAGCTATTAGTTCCTTATCTCCCCGAAGATTAGAGATTGGAGGGTTAGGGTTTGGTATACTCCTCTGCTCAGAGCAAAGAGGAGAGCATGGAGAAGAAAGGAAATGGTCAACCTGTTAACATCTTTGTAAAAAGTTATCATCAATAAAGATATGAAGCCACCTCTCAAACATGCAGCATTTGTCAGTTTATTTCAAGTAACTCAACCTAAAGGATTTATCATTTGGTGAGCCAGTCAGAAGTTTAATTGGAAGCAATGTAGAACTGTTCATCTTCTGAAAACCACAGTTTTGTCTTCTAAAGAGCAAACACTTAAGACCCATGTGGCAGTTGCAAAACCAATCAACAAAAGGGCCCTACTACTACTACTACTACCTTTTGTTTTTTTTTTACTATGTTTATTTCTTTCTTAGTTTTGATTCTTAAATTTATCCTAAGTTTTGCCTTGTTCAGATGTTATTTTTTAGTTATAAGTACTTTTTTGGTGAACAGTGGGGAGACAGCTGGCCTTACCTACTCATGCAAGCAGCTTCTGGTGCTCCGTAAATCCGCTCCATGCTCCATTAATGTTCCCATTCCCAAAGAACTACGGAGACTGTTCAGGGTATGCAGAGCTGGAGTTAAAGCGAAGGCAAAGAGGAAGCGTTACAAGCCCTTCATCTCCTCCATCATCATGAGGATCATGAGGACTCTCGGTAATAACGTGGATGAACTGAAAGTGCTGATCGGGACCCAGCGGAAGTATCAGGAGTGTATTGTGGTTTGTCTTTCTGAGAAATGGCTTCACACTGACATTCCGGACTACTATGGACAAGACTAAGCAACAAACTCTGGCACCATTCCCTCCATCAGCAATAGCATCCTCCAAACTCCCTCACTGCCTCCACTTCTTCTACACCCCTAATTACACCCCTCCCTCCACCCCACAGCCATTGCCAGAAGACTTGCATCCCTCCCTAGAGGTGACAACCAGCTAGGTAAAGAGACAGCTGGAGAAGATGAAATTGGGCAAAGCTGCTGGACCAGATGGGATCCGCCCGACAGTACTGATGTACTGAGAGTCAGCTATGTGGGATTCTTCAACCTAAGCCTTAAACAAGGGCCTGTGCCAGTGCTGTGAAAAACATCCTGCCTGATTCCTGTTCCAATGAAGTCATCTATGATTGCAATGACTACAGACCAGTGGCCCCTACATCCTGGAGAGACTAGTGTTGTCACATCTCAGACCTCAGGTCAGCCCTTTCCTGGACCCCCTGCAGTTTGCTTATCAACAGGAGGTTGGCATGGACAATCGCTGCACTTTTGAGCAGTAAGACACCTTGTTATGTGGTCACATCACAGACACTGTGCTGGCAGTGCTGAAAATGGCAGCAGCTGGGCTACCTCTCCTGCTAACGATTCTGTGTGTTTTTGAATGACTGTTGCTGCACCAACTCAGCTGTTGTTGAACACTTCTGCTCTCCTGATATGGAGTACATGATGCTAAGATGCAGGCCCCCTACGGTGAGAATAGTTCATGTGTGGCCTAAAGGGGCAGAGTCAGTGTTACAGGACTGCCTTTAGTTTACTAACTGGAACATGTTTCAAACTGCAGTCACCATGAACTCTCTGGTTGATGCAAATGAATATGCCGCATCCGTCACTGGATTCATCAAGAAGTGTGTAGATGATGTGACTCAAGCAAAGCAGATTTGCACACTTCCAAATCAAATCTGGCAACAGGGAGCAACTTACAGCTGCCAGATGGACCTTAAAGGCTGGCATCAGGACTGCAAAACACAAGTACAGCACACAAATTACAGCCTAGTTCAACACCCACTCAAACCGGCACATGTGGCAAGGGATCCAAGCAATCACTGACTATAAAAGCAAAGTCAGTAAGTCAGTGACCACAGACACCTCACTCTCTGCGAACACTTTCTATGCCCGCTTTGAGAGCACTGCTCAGGCTCAGTTAACCACCACCTTCCTGCCCCTCCCTACAGAGAAGCCAGCCATCATACTCACTACAGATGAGGTAAGGAGGGCACTGATGAGGGTCTCAACTCGGAAAGTCACACGTCTAGATGCCATTCCTGCTTGGGTCCTGAAAGCATGTGCCAACCATCTGACTGACACCTTCACGGACATCTTCAACATTTCCCTGGAACAGTCTACCGTTCCCACCATCTTCAAAGCTACAGCCATCATCCCAGAACACTGAACGACTACCATCCCTTTGCTCTCACACTCATAGTGATGAAGTGCTTTGAGAGGTTGATATTAGCTCACATAAAGAGCAGTCTTCCTAGCACTCTGGACCCCCATCAGTTTGCCTACGGCATAAACAGATCCAATGCACACTGCACTCAACCACCTGGAAGGAATGGACAACTATGTCAGAATGCTGTTCATTGTCTTCAGCTCTGCCTTCAATACCATCTTCCCACACAGAGTGGTCTTTAAACTAAACACTCTTGGAATAAGTCACTCACTGTGCAGCTGGATAATGGCCTTCTTTGCCTGTAGACCACAGTCTGTTAGGATGGGTGACCAGACCTCTCCCCACATCACAGTAAGCACAGAATGCCAACAAGGCTGTGTCCTCTCATCTATGCTCTACACACTGTCCACATACCACTGCATCGCAAAAAACAGCTCCAACACCATCATCAAGTTTGCCAAGAACACAACAATAATTGGCAGCATCACCAACAACAATGAGGGACCAAACAGGGAGGAAGTGAAGCTCCTTACAGCGTGGTGCACCACCAACAACATCTCCCGCAATGTGAGCAGAACCAAGGAGTAGATTGTTGACTTCAGGAGAAGGAGCAGAGCACACAGAAGAGACAAAGGTGGAAAAGTTGACCAGCTTCAAGTTCACCAATGTCCACATAACTGAGGATCTCATGTGATCACTCAACACACCACACATTGTCAAAAAAGCCTAACAATGCCTCCACTTCCTTTCAAGGCTGAGGAGAGTCAACCTGCTACAGCAGCTCCTCTGCAACTTCGACAGGTCCACAGTGAAGAGCATCCTGACAAGCTGCATCATGGTCTGGTATGGCAGCTCCACTGCTGCTCAACATAAGGCCCAGCACATCACCGCAGCAGCACCTTCCACCCATACAGGACATCTACAACAAGAGATGTCTGAGAAAAGCCATCAACATCTCCTCTGACCCCACATACCCCAGCCATTCCCTGTTTCAACCTCTGCCATCTGGAAAGAGGTACCAGAACATCCAAGGCAGAACCACCAAATTCAGCTTTTTACCCACAGGCTGTTAAACTGGTCACACCAGGGACACCAACCAGAACATGAATTCTCTATGGCCCACTACTGATGTAACCCTGATCCACCCAGTTTACTCAGTGTAATGTCTACACACTGAGTTCTACTAGCTTATGGGACTGTATGCACGTTGCACTTCAACTGGAATTCACTATAAGCCGATATAACCAAACATTAAGTTGATAATGCTCATTTACCTGCACATATAACATCTGTGTTGCACACCGGACCTGGTTTACCTCAATATTCTTCCAATTAATACACACTACAAAACATATAAGTTGTAAATCACACAAGTCTACATATTTATTTATAGTGTAGAGTCTAAAGTTTGCGTTTTAAATTCTACCTCCACCTTCTGACTTACAGTTGCTGTTTATGCACATATCTGTATACACTGTCTATGCACATATTCTCATTTTCCTTTGGTCTGTTGTCTTTGCACTGTTGTCTTATTTTATTCTATTTTCCCAAATAGCGAACATATATCGGTTCGCTGGCTTGATAAGGTTGACACCCTGCTGACAGTTTGCCACTACTGGTCCACCCTCGGACCACGCAGATTACTTTTTTTTAATCTCCACAAACAGATTTTAAATGCACTTTTTATTTATTTTAGAAAATAAACCAAGACAAATATTACAAACAACTGAGGGAGAAAAAAATGATGACTAGGCCTGATATAAAATGATTGTATAGAAAATGTTTCTGACATTGTGCTAGAGATTTAAATGATTTACTAAACTAATTTACAAAGTATAACAAAAGAAAAGAAGGAAGGAAAAATAAGTAAATTGGACTGAGAGTGGAAAATGAGCGATGATAAGAGGAATTATGTCTAATACTCTGCTTAAACACCGTTGGGCTGCCCGGAAAACACTGAGCAAAATGCCAGTGGACCACCAGCTTTGCCATCAGCAGCCAACAGTGGCCCACTATCCTCTTACTATCAGGGTTGTTAATCACTCCACACAGAAGTAGCCAGACAGTGTTTCCTTATACTATACAACCCTGTATAGTATAATGACAATAAAATCGAATTCAATTGATTTGGTCCGTTTTTGCGTACATAGTGAGCCAGTTATCCTGAGTAAATGGTCTCTTTAATTTACAGTTTTTTTTTGTTGTTTTTCTTTTTGGAGAATGTTAACGTGACTCTAGTGATGTTCTCCTCTTGCGCAAGGGGAAATGACATAAGACCCTTTCTGAAACCCTGAAGAACTGCATATAGAAGGACAGACTGCATGCTCTGGATGACCCTGGACACCATGCTAACTGCTGTGATACTGATGGTCATCTGCTCCACTTCAGGTAAGACTCGGAGATGGCTGGACTTGGTTTAAATTTGAGAAGGTGCTTAAAGGATTTAGAGTCCGTATTCACGGGAACTGAGTAACTACATTTGTGCTCTGGTTTATCTGGAACTGAAAGAGCTTTGAATCTTCTCTACACCGTCAATAATACATTCCATATAATACTGACAAGATTGTGAAAACCCATCGGCCACAGATCTGACCACATCATGTCAACATCCTTCTGGGATTCAAAAAGCAGGTCCCCGTTACATGTGTTGGTTGCTAACTGTTAAATTTTTTACTACATTCTAAGAGCTTTGATTACAATAAGAAAATTAGGCTCGGCTATGATCACATTTTAGGTCTTAAACAGACTTTCTATTACGCAGCAGTTTTTTTGAGATGCACACTTGCTTCCTGTCTCTGGGTGGAAGTTTCCTGCCTCCTCACATCAGAGAGGAGGGGAGGGTGTATTATCATGTCAGATATGAGATTCTCTCATGTGTGAGTTTTGGTTCATTAAGCTGACTTGACAAAGCCAACTTACTGTCCTTCCTTGTCTTCCTCTTTATTACTCTATGCATTTTTTGGGTGC